GGGAGAGAGAGGGGAGAGAGAGAGAGAGAGAGAGAGAGAGAGAGAGAGAGAGAGAGAGAGAGAGTGTATAATAAGTAGAAGTAAGCAATTGACGAATGACCAGCATAAACTTTAATAAAGTATAACAGCACTGTGACGTTCTCTATCTCTCTCTCTCTCTCACACACACACTATAATTAAGGTGAAAGAGTTGAGAGAATGATAAAAAATGAGAAGCTAAAATAATCTTAGTGAGAGAAGATAATGGCGAAACTAGGTAATGTGAGGCACCTGGCACTGAAGGTGAACTTCTGCCAGTGATTAAGCAACCCTTTGTGCAAGCGATTTCCCTGTCGTTTCACAATTTTATGAGTCCAAATCAGAAAAGATTACAATAAGCATGCAATATACAAGTAAAAATAACACAAAACTAATGTTTGGCGCCGGAATGAATGGGATGAGACTGGAAATCTACCACAGAGAGTGAAAGAAATAATACCATAGATTTAGTCATGCGTTCTTCAAGTTCATGGCCAATAGGAAATTCTAGGGGAACTTGGTTTAGAAGACATATTTTAACGGCAAGCCAAAAACCATAGAAAATGCTAATAATTTTTTAAGAAGAGTCCAAGTTTATGAATCTCCAAAGTCCGCTAAACTAGAGAAGACAGATAAGTTCATGGAGAAAATAACTAGAGCATTTCAAAATGTATTCAAGGGTCGAAAGAACTGAACATATACCAAATGGTAATTCATTCCAGGTGATTAGCATTAATCATAGTTGCCAGAGATTTAATTCTCAAATTAAGATGACGATTCAGTTCATACGTTTGTCTTTTGTCCGGCTATGAGGATCGAATAATAAAGACGAATTAAAAACTTAAGACAATTCTAAGTTCTCTGAAAGGATATGCTAAAAACCTCAAAAAAATTGAACACCTGTAAGTGGGCTTGCCTGAGTAGCATAAAGAAAACAAGCTGCAATCTTTGCTTTTTAAGGAAAAACTTGGTAGATTACAGCTGCCCTAGTTCACATTGTCGTACTAAAAACAGTAGGGAGAGGTCCAGGCTTTTAAAACGTTTAGAAGTTCAATGAAAGATCTCAATATAGTTTCATGATCATTCTGTCACCGCAAGTATATTCAATATATGAGAAACTTACACTGAGTTTATATCAACTTACCAATTCTGTCAGGAATGATTGCTTGTTGAGACCTTCTAGAGCAGTAAATGCTACTTCTAGTACACGAGATAGGTAAGCCACCACTCTGGTATTCACACAAAAATATTAATAAATTAGTTGTGGTTAGATTTTTGAGTTAGGATCAATGGGAAGAGCAGTGATCGAGCAGACTTTGTGCAAGCGGTTGTTGCCCGATGATCAGGGGCGTTTCCATCGTCCACTGATCGAAAATCAGTGGTCTTCTGTTCTGCAGAAAGCAAACGCTCCACCTGCAAGAGAGATCAGAGGGAAAATAATTTAGGAGTACATACTTAAGGAGGTCCGGTTTCTGGAAAAATCAGGGGCACCAGTGTTGAAGTATTTCTGACATTCAATGAGAGTTCATACCAATTCTTTTACATATGATGCTTATTTCTCATAGCATGGAGCATAAGGAGGGAGATATTCACGTGGGATTTAGGTTTAATGGAGGACACTAGGGTCACCACACAAGAACATGAGATCTGAGAGGGGAACAGGGAAACTGTAATGTGATGAACTCAGGCATGACCGGAATATTATGGTCACAATCCGGATCCTCCCTGATGCAATCTCAAAATTTTTGTTGATTTTGGAAATTCCCTTGAGAGAAAAGGCATTCTCGGATCCAAGAACAGTAGTCCAGAATTGGCACAGCAGCCCAAATAGTTAGTAAGATCAGATGGGGTCCGTCCATTTTTTGATTCCATTTTTTGATTCAATGAGCAAGAAGCCTGATTGAAAGTTATGGCGCTTTTAAATGAGGAATTTCTACATAGATTATGTTATGGTTGCCTTTGACTCTCGATTTTCATTGTCTAGGATTTTCCTGCAATGAAAGTCTCTCAGAGTTTCATTTTACTAATAATAAAAAAAGATTTGAAAACACTTGTCTGGTTGCAAGGAACAAAAACATTAACAGTTCATTACAGAACTAACGAAGTATGACCAGACTACCTCAGATAGTTGTGGTGTCACATCGGCCCAAGTTTTCGTGAAATAATGAAACTGGATAGGAGCTAGATAAAACAGGGCAGACCAAGCCAATTTCACTCTCCTCAACTGCTCCCCGAGGATGAGGGAGAAGGAACTTCACCCACCCCCATTGTGGCTCATGCAGAGTCACCCGTTCCGAGTTGAAACAGCAAAAATATTCTCACTTCATGCTTTCTATTTTTGTGTGCCGCAAAATTTTGATGAAGTTAGTATTTCGAATTCATCTATCAGTTGTCAATTCTCCAATCATTGTGCTCATTTTTTTCTCCAACGCGAGTTTCTCTCTCTACTTCAACTTTTCCCATTGGACACAATACTTCTGTCATTAGCTGTAGACATGCTCGAATTATTGGAATATCAAGAAGACAGCTAAGCATTCATGATTGAGATCCTTGCCAGGGACAAGATTAATTCTTTTCCATAAGAACAGAGGGAGACAAAAGCTTTCCTCTTTGTAGATTATTTTAAGTTTGTGCAACATGAAAGCAAGCCTATGCATAGTTGCCCTCACAGTAATTTCTAAGTTTTGTTGACCAATCCGATAGGTCTAGATCAACCAATGTGGATCAGCCTAAGATTGTACGTGGTTTAGACAAAAATGCCTATGAATCCATGCATGGTAACACTAGCCAGATAGATGGAAGTAAAACGAGATAATCATCAACCCAGGATGTGCAGGCCCAGAGGAGAGACTGATAATAAATTGCAAATCAAGGGATACAAAGTAGCATACATACATATCCCTTCCCCTCCCTTAGTGGTCCTGAGGTGTAATTCACCGCATCCTTTTTGCCGGATTCGTAACGTTTTTTATTCATTTGCTATTTCCTTCTCCAAATTCTATATTTCCACAGTGCATAATCTTCTCCAAATCACATAACCAAGTGCCTCTCCACCATCATCATTCACAGTCGCATCACCTGTGGAATGTATTTGCACCACATCTTCTATCATAAAAAATGCAAATGCATGGTAGTGGAAGGATGAACAGTCGCTTGATCAAATGCATTAGTGCCTTTCTAAATTCATTGATTTAATTAATGATTTTAATAAATTATAAAACTGAAATACAAATATTTTTTATTTTCATGTTACTCTATATCTACAAATTTTCTATTTTAAAAATATTTAATATTGCTTTTATTAGTTATCTAGAAAAGTTGTCACCCTTGTGCTATTGCCTAAGCATAAGGCAGTGGACAACCATGACAATAATTGCAGAGGTCTTCACAACCATGGCAATGCTCATTGACAACCGGTGATGTCGAAATCGACGATTTTGAGAGATCTCTTTAAAAATGTTAATAATATAATGGGAAAAGAAAGAATTATAGGCATAACACTGCAGTCAGTTCAATATGTATACAGAAAAACACCAAATATAATTCATTCTTCATAATTGATTAAAAGAAAATGCTTTAGAAAGAAATAACAGTGACTTGTATCAATTTCATTGGCTGCACGCAATATTTCGAGATGGACTGATAAATGTAAGATAAAACAATGGGAATGTGCGGTCTTAGAAAATAAAGATCCAGATTGATTGAATGACAAGTACATTGTCAGAGATGCTCCTTGGCTAAGATAGCCAGTACGAGGAGTTTTTTTTAATGAAAGCGGACCCACCTCAGCCATTACTGTGTCAATGCATTGTAAGAGCCCCTTCTGAGCTGCAGTCTCAACACGGGAGATGGATGTGCCCATTTCTTCACAGCACGCAGCATGGGCACCATCCACTGGTAATAAGAGCCGGGATATCGTATTTGAGAAATACTGAAAAGAAAAGCATCAACGTCATCATCTAATTGTGTTGAAAAATTACCATACAAAGAATATGCTTAATCACATGGGAATTTGTAAGGTAAAAAAAACGACAGTTACCTGCTGCAGTATGGATACACTGCTAGCACAACGTTGCACAGCTACCACAAAAGATCTGATACCATTTTCACCAGCAGCGGCAGCAGCTTCTGCCTGAACATGATAAGTAGTTTATCTCCGGATTCCAAACTCAGTTTATCTCGAAAAGAAAAAAAATATAAGGCATTTTTTTCATAAAAGAGCATAATCTTACGGCAGAAGCAGCAGCTGCAGCTACCCTTCTACTGAGATTTGTACCCAGCACAAATCTTTCCCTCAAAGCCGAAGCCTCAGTCAAGCTCTCTCTTACACGTTCCAATCCTTCAGTCAAATATTGACTAACCTGTGGAGTGGACAAACAGAACGAAATAGCTACTTAAGGAGGTTCACTTATTGGAGAACAATAAGAAAGCACATACTGATACACACTTACTTGTTCAAGCAAGCATGTAAAGATTGGCTTCACACTATTTGCAACTGTAGCAGGCTGTGAAAAGGACATCAAGATAAAGAACACTAGATGTAAAGACCATCTCCCAAAACAATATCAGATAAAAGCATCAGAAAGACAAATTCGTTAGCAAGAAGTGGAGGAAGTATTATGCTGGCAAAGACCGGAGCCAAAAAGTGAAGACGAAGTGAGAAGCCAGACACAACCAGAAAAAGGGATCTAAAAAGGAGTGTGGGAAAATAATCTATATTGCATTAATACTGCAGTGGATATAGAGGTGAGAATGGCAATAACAGAGAAACTTATGAAAACTAACAGTAACTCTTCCTCCCTAGTCCACCATTCGTCCTTGTTAAATTGATGAAGGGGGGCCACTTTTAAAATGAATGCCTGTTAAAGAAAAAATCCAAGTACATGAAAAAATGGTAATGAAATTTAAAGGCTATTTATTTAAAGATAACATCCATAGTTCTTCAGCAGCTGGCTGATTCCAATCTTGCACAGTCAAACCAGATAGGAAAACCCAGTTTAATTCAGTTATAATTTTTCATCCTCCAGTGCCTTCACTAAACTTGCATTTCCTTGGTAGGGATTACCATGAAAATGACAAACGAGAACAACGAAATTAGGTTTAATTCTTCAACTTGGCAATTGCAATGAGAAAGATAAAACCAAAAGGGTACACTGAACTGAAGCAATTGCATCAACTAGGTTGTATGCACGACACAGCTGGAGTTGTGCAGAATGGAAGATTTGAGCCTTGAATTCACAAGGCACGAATCTGGAACTTTGGGGGGCTTGGAGACCAGGCCTTGAATCCTCAGGACTTGGAATCTTCAATCTTTGAATCCACAAGGAATGACTAGGACGACTCTTGAATCCACAAAGGCCAGTGCTTTGAATCCACAAGACAACAAACACCTCAAAGGGAGAAAATTCGTACTAACCAAGATGATGGGCTTTAAACAGGCTGAAAATCAGTTGGGGCGACCCTGAAAATCGGATGAAACATATTCAAAACGCCTTAAAAATTGGACAGTTACTAAAACTAAGACTCTGACGTGTTATTCACGTGCTTTATTTTGGGCCAAATTTGATTTTGGGCCTTTCTGAGTTTTCTCATTTTTGTAGCCTGCACTTTACGTCTCCAGAACAGCTGGCCCACCAATTTTGGGCTTTCCTTGGTTCTGTCATACTATTTTACATCAATGCATGAGAGATCATGATAAACCTGATGATTTCATGGACAAAGAGAAACTCTAACTTAACTAGGCTGTTCCACCATCCACATTTTTCTTTAGCTAAAGTGAGGAACTTGATCGCACAGAAGACTACAAAGTAGGAAGGCACACTGAAGTGGAATAATTAAATAAACAAGAAGCTATGCAATTCAATGATTTCTGGACAGTCTCCTCCACACCTTTCCTTAGCAAAAGGTGGGAAACTTTGTCATGCAGAAAAGTACCACCAATCAAACTACCAGCAACTGGGAAGCACATTGAAATACCCATGCCCCAGAGATTAAAATGAAAGAGACGGAGATCATTAAGAATTTTTTTATCCTTGATAGCTCAAATAGAATGTTATCCTTACCACACCATTGACTGACGAAAAGCATGGAGAATGATAAATATTGTTATGCAATGAAACATCACATAATGATGTGAAATGAATAAAGAATCTCTTAAACATTAAAGGTTATTTGGAACATTAATTGTTTACATTGGATACATTTCAAGTGTACAGCAAAAAACAAGCGTCTGAACAAAGAGTGCACTTGATAGCTTCACCATTGATGAATCGATTTTACTCCGAAGGAAATTTCATAACTTTCATCAAGGCTCTGAACAAGAGAATGCATTGCTTCCTGATATGAAATAGCCTGGGATCTACAACTCATGTCACTTGCCTATGGATGCATAGTAAGTTTCATAACTTTCAACTAAACTTACACCCAAGGTGAGCACGAAAAAAATGGATCGTATGTTACCAAACACATGGAAACCTTCGCATGTCCTGGGAGGGATAGGTAAATTAAAGCGTTCTCAATTGGAATTCACGCTTAGCATCATATCATACCCTAATCTAATGTGCTTCAAATATTATTGAATCATTACTAAGAAAGATATATACATATATACACACACTTTTCATCCCTACATTTCTTCGCAAGCCGTTTTTGATGTTGCAATCTTGGTCTAAATGCCCTTTAAGTAACATCATCTGCGTTTCAATAGCAATATATTATTTTATTCATTCACAGTCCCACCTTTTGCCATGAACATAGCAATCAACAAAAATTATTTGATATCCCTGCGCAATGATGCGTCTGCAAGAACATCAACCTCAAGGTTGTATAAAAGTACTGTATCATGGTTTGTTGAAGTTTATGGGTTCCATTTAATGATTTTTTTATTTTTGGAAGTGGATGGTACCACAGTACAATTGAACAAATGTCGTAAAACCTGTACAAAGTCAAAAGGAAAACACTGAGACCTGCATCAACAACCAAAACCCCAGAAATCACTCTCATCTCTGACACAGAAATTCATTGCTAAGGTAAACATAAAAGTATTCGGCATTCAGTAAGACGCTAATTTCCTGAATCAATTTGTATGCCACAACTTGTGGGTAACAGATTCCAATCAGGCATATCGCAAAAAATAGCCAATAAAGCAAAAGGTAATTAAAGAGCAAGGTTGGAGAATATGATAGGTGTTAACTACTCTGGCAGTCAAAGTATGGCCTTACCTGGGAAGAAAACAAAGTGCATCTAGATATAGCCTCCTCATTCCAGCGAATAAATTCTGTGACAACAGTAACTGATATCTGCTGCTGGGAAGGTCCAGGTGGCGCTTGTGAACGTGAAAATCCACTGGTAGACTGAGATGGTTGCTGGACTTCAGAACGCAATTCCTCCATCTGCAGGACAGTATTCCATCCATAAGAGATAGACATATACTAAAAGACAACTAATAAAATCCCATCCAAAATCAAGTAGGAATTAAGAAAACCTTTGCCCGATATAGCTGCTTAAGGGATGCCTGCTCATGTTCATGGTACTCATCTTTATGAGCAAGAAATAGAGACTCTGTGAGCCCTGAACAAGTAAAACAAGAGCCCATTTAATTAAAGGGAAAAAAAAAATCTGGAAGCACTTATTTCAGTGGCGACTAAATCGAAGATGGCAAGTGAAAGTGACATGAGCTTCCAGCATTCGGTGAGAATGATGATTCATAACCATCACGAAACTTGAACCGGGATCTTTCTCCTCTCCCTTTGTTATTTTCATTATTTTTTTGGAAAGATGATAGTACAGCATATTGACTCAATCAGAGGAAAAGAGGTACACATATATAGCGTCAATTTATTTAGTGTGATACACTGAATCCTACATGTTTAGCTGATTAGCAATTTTAAAGCCCCTCTTCAAGAAGACCAGCCATATAGGGTCATGGAAAGAACGAAGGTTAGAAGACTAGAGTACACAACTTTCCAAATGTGAAGTGACAATAATATAGTGCTCGTTACATGATCCAAACTAATAGATCGAGGTAAAGTGCAAGCAAGGAATCCATTCAGTCTGACAAAGAATTTAGTCATGGATGCCCTCTGAGCTTTATTTACAATATACTCAATGGGGAGATGATAAAATTTTCAAGTTCTTTGTTGTTAGGGAAAGAGCCCTCAGTAATACCAAATAATTTCACTACAGCCATATTCCTCCATTTACCAGTGTGTCTGATTCTCTTCTCCCTCCCATGGAGGTTTTACACAATATACAGAAGGGAAAATGACAATGTATCGTCTATTATAGATTCTGGAAAATTAAATTTCAGTTGAGACATTTAAGAAAGTCATTTTCCAGGATGTAAAATTCTCGCTATCAGTAATAAAAAACACTGTACAACAAAGTCTCACAATTCAAAATATAAAGTTCAGACATTGTCATTGACTTTTGTCAATTACCCTCAACGTCCAAGTCACCGCAACCCACGGATCTTAGCTCTTTCGCGAGTTCATATGTCTTCTCATATGCAACAGCTAGAAGTCTGAGATACTGCAGAGTCAACTCATCAGTAACATTGTTATCAAAGGATATTAACCCGTACGAAACAAGGAATGAACTGCAGTACTATTGAAGCATCTTACGAGTAGAAGTCCGCCTTTCTCAAGAGGAGGTATGTTAACCAGTGAAGGCTTTACTAACAACCTGTCCAGAATAGCTGCCACCCTTTGCTCTAAAACCCGCTGTGCAAGACAGGAATAAAATTAGTTTTCTATTCTAAAGAACAGTATAGAAACCAGATGTCTAATCTCTCTATTGCTACCTGCACAAGAATAGACATGACTTCAATAGGGGATGGAAATACAGCCATTATGGTGGCAGCCTCTTTATGCACAGTCTCTGCAAGACGACATTTCGTCAGATTTTCATTACTTCATTAGAAAAGTGCAATTCTAAGTGCACAGTCCCTTAATGCATCATGCTGTAAATCTCATAAGACTTCTCCAAAACCTGTGATTTCTTTGTATAATGTATAAAGGCCACGTGCAATGTTTGTAGTTCCAGATTGCAATCCCTGATCTCCAAGAACTAATTTAACATCTGAATCCATTACTTCAATGTCGATAAACATTGGACGAGAAGCTACATAGTGCTGCATAGCACTAGTCCCCTTATTAAACTGCATTCATAAACAAGAAGGCATACTTCAGTGAGATTATTCTGAACTAATACCTAGTAACCGAAATTTTCAGCACAAGTCATAGCATCTGGATATACGGGCTAACAAAGAGAACGATGCTTGATGCTTAAAAAGAGAAAAATAAATGAATATTTGTCTAACTTCTAAATGATGGTAACAACGGCAAAAATGATTTATAATCTTAAAACTGAATCTTCTTCTGCTTGGAGTTGGCTGTAACTTTATCAACATACGACTGTGGAAAAGAACTAACCTGCGATAAAATTTTAGCACATTCTCCCATTGTTGATAAATCTCTCTTTTGAGATGCTGCATCAAATCTAGACAACAATCTGTTCTCCAATTCTAGAGAATGACAAAACCATGGATTACAATTCGCATGAATTCTCAGAATGATTAAGAACAATTTGATACAAAAACCCACCATTACAATATTCTTGAAGATTTGCAACAGCAACTTCCAAACCTCTACTAGCATTCGCAGCTCCAATGGGCAAAGGTATGCCCTGCCTACCAATATCTTCCTCAGCAAATGACCCTGTAATTAAAATGACAAAAACAAGCTTGGAAAGTTTTAATAAAGATGGCAAGGCTATCTTGAATATTCCATCCTGAAGAACTTTTTTTTAATCATATGAATATTCGCTTTTGATCCTGTCTGAAGAATTTGGCAAGATACATGAATATGTTAAAGAAAAAGAATAAAAAATTAAATAATATATAAAAATAAAATTCAGTGCTCATAATAATTACCCATTGTAGCTCGTTGGAGGCTTTCTTGGAACACATGTTTCTTGTTAGCTCATTTTCATGAGTGGCGAAGCTTTCTATTGCTAAATATGAGGGAATGAAAAGGTTGACTAGAAAATTTTGTAATGAAGGAAAACAGCATTCCTCATTCTTGAGATGATTAGTACCTTAGCATGGTCTTTTCAGTCTTGGTATGAGTTCTAGAGGTGACGGGTACTGGATCTCTGAAAGGATGTAAGGCATTCCATAAAATATCCCCTTTCAGCTAAATTATGTGCAATCCACGTTCACCTTTATATATACATCTAGAAGTGTGTCACATAAACACTAGATTTATACCAATGCAGCATAGCCCACTTTTAGTCCTCCGAAGTAGAAAATTCAGCTTTGAATTTTGGAGTACTTTCATTTACAAAAATGAAACATATTTCTAGTAATTCCCTTTGCAAGTTATTTATAAAAATGCCATCAGTTATAAGATACACAATTGTATATCTGTTTCTACGGAAAAACATGTGATGAGATTTCAAGAATCATACATCTGAAACACTCCACGCATGGAGGTTCCAAGAAATCACAGGTTAAAGTTGGATTTAGTACATAAAGATGAACCAACCCCAGGCAGTCAGAAGTACATCACAATTTGACCTGAATTTGAATGTTTCAAAGCTAGGTTTCTTTTTCAATGTCATGATAAATCAAATTACGTTCTGCATCAAATAGACCCAGAAACAGAAAAAATAACCTACAACCCCACTCCACAGGTATCACCTAACTCCAGCATACACTGTCCGAGTCCAACGTTTGGTCATATGATCACCATTTCCCCAGGCAAGATATAATGGCAAATGCACATAAAAAGTACATACTTTCTCTACCAGAAAACTAAACTATAAGTCCGGTTCACTGTTGTAGAAAATCTTGTAAATATGCCATTAATCACATCTAGTATGTAATCTGAGATTGGTAAGCGACCAGGACTTGAGGTGACTCTTCACGCCATTAACTGCAGAGTGGTAGTTATAAATCATTAAAAAAGTTCCAAAGTTGGAATTACGAAATGTATGTAATTTATTAATTAAGAGATTATGAGAATTGCCAAAACCTCGCATAATTTCAGTTATACCCAAAAAGAAGCAGCTTCTTAATATATGGAGTCACTATACCACCTTTCCTTTGCAAAGCACTCAAATCAGCCCCAAAAAACCCAGAATGAAATCAATTCTAAAGCATAGAATTGATCATAGACTCCGGAAAAGTGCAACACAAAAAGCAGAAAACATAACCACACCCATGGATGCACTCTATTTCGCCAATTGGAAGCTTGTCCAAAGATATCGTCAAGAAGATCCAAGATGCACAATCGTCTGATGTTCATAATTTCCAGAGTTCAGTAATTTAAAAAGAAAAGTTGTCACAACACGAGACTATCAAATTGTTCTTGAGTATGATCATAAAAGCGCAGAGCTTTTATATTTCTTAAGGCCTCCCATCCAGTAAAAAAAAAAAAACCAAAGTTTTTAACAGATGATCAAATTGGCTATTTAAATATAACATCAAGAAAAGTAGTTGAGCGGATGCAACACAAGGGAGACCATATTAGAAAATGTAAAAAAGGTAGGAAGAAAATTTTCGAGCTTACGCAGTTTCTGTGCAACAGAAGCAGCTTCAGCTACGCGACTATCATCGGAAAATAGGGGAGAAAGTTCCATTAGGTCCCCCGGGCTGCTGTTGAACTCCATCAAGTACTGCAGGATACATTATATTTACATGGGATAGACATCATAGTCAAACCACGATGCATTTTACAGATCTAGATCTAACATCAAGATCAACTCTTGCCACAAACAATCATTTCGCATGACTACCTTAATAAGGTCTATTGTCTCACTGGCTGTTTCCCTCTGAGAGTCTGCACTCTACAATAATCAAATTCATGTGTCAGATGTCAATTTGTGTACAAAATGAAAAGAATCGATTTGTGATTCTCCAGAAATGATAAATAATTTATGCTTTCGGGAGGTAAAAAACCTATAAAAGATCAAGTACCTGCAAATGATCACCAATTTTTGCAGCAGTCTGTCCAACACTTGTAATACGTGAATCCAGCCTAGCAAAGCTATCAAAGAGTCCATCCACGCCTTTTTCCAACTGAAAGTATCAATAAAGGACGACCATAAGATCTTGCTAAATGGCCAGTATCATACCTTGAAAACAATTACCACAGAAGAAGGCATCCGAAATATAACCCACTAAAGACGTGCTTTAAATATAGCTGAATTGTCATAATACATGGATATGAGTCGGGATATCCACTTCCATTAACCTAGAGTGATAAGGTACATAAAATAACTAATCGTTGCACAGGACAAAAACTAAGTGAGAGCTTCATAGGAAGAATTCCCTACCAGCATATTAGTACTTAGGAACAAATTTCAGATCCAGTAAAGTTAGCACAAGATACAACCACTATTCCTACTTGGTCATTTGACTCTACAAAAGAAAGGTTAAAAGCTATCAAGGGTCAGATTAAAATTGCATAAAATAACAAAAACATTTTGCAATCCAGCCCCCCTCTATGGTGCATTGACTTCATCTCCATCTTAGAATTTCTGCAAGTCGCTAACCACTGTGAAACTACAACTAATGACCCTGCATAGCTATATGGACTACGTCCACAACAAAACAACTAAGCATGATTTTCCTCCCATTAATCAATGGCAGAAGGTGAACATACTAGAATTTTGTTCAATTAGCTTCATTGCTGGGACCTAAGATATCCGATATTTGATTGGGAAGGCTAGGAGAGGTGATTAATAAACTCATTGGTCAGAATCACTGGGAGGAATTTCGGCTTTAGCAGGAAATTTAAATGATCTGGTGCTGGACAATCAGAGGAGAAGTTTGATGTGGGGTTGCCAAGATGCTTCCTTGAAAAAATGAAAAGGATTAAATTCTCGAGTAAATGAAGGAAAATGATGCATCAGAAGATTCAGAAAAGCTTGTACACAACTTGCAGGAAAAGTTTACGAGAGGAGGAATGATATCTGCATCATGGTGAAGAGGATGTCGATACAGCATAGTTCCAAGAGATGGCCTCAAGGAGAAGGAAAAACACCATCTGATGCTTGAAGAAAGAGCAAATTAAGGGACACACAGAAGAACACGGTGTAAAGGAGCACGTGAGTAACTTTTACTCAAATTTTCACTCGGGGTCACTGGAGACCTTTCTTGGAAAGAGATTTGCTGCTTATGGTAAAAGGAAGAGTAAGGGGAGCAAACAAGAGGAAGAACAAGGCTGCAAGTCCCAATGTATTTCCACTATGTTCTCACAAAACTCACTAGACATGAAGAAACATGACTCGATGGACGCTGTGAAGGGTTTCTGCTCGGGGTAGGCTCATTTGAAGGGTCGGAATCAAAATTAGTTATGAGGAAAAGTGGTGCAAACTGGCTAAAGGATCATGGAACTATGACCTTGTGGAAAATCATGAAAAAGGTCATCATATAAATGCTACCTTGAGAAGGACTTTATTAAGCTAGATCAATGGATTACAGGCAGAGATTTGGCAGAGATTACAGCACTTTACAGGTAAGCAATATTACCACCAAAGAAAGGATAAGGATAAAATTTCAGGAGAAAACAGAATTTGATACTCAAAGGGAACCAAAAAAATTGGTCGCCTTTCTTCCATGAGACCATTTGGAGTATGGAACTGGGGGAACATGTGCATCTTTAATATTTAAAAGACAGCTTCTAAGAAGAAAGGATGATCATAATGCTGGCGTTAGAGTGAACGAATGAATGAGATGAGCTTCATCATGAGGAAGGACAATGATTGTGTCATTTTTGGGTGCACAGAACTAGTATTGTTTGCATCATTTTGGTCTAGTTCATAGTCGTATATATGGTTTACAAGAGCCACATGGAATATGCGCCTGTACATGTCATCCTTTCTTTTGATATGTGATTAATCTGAGCACCACTTAGTAAAATAACGTATTGAGTCATAAAGATATTTCCCACTTATAGATGTATTTTTCACTTCAAAATTTTCTGGCACTTTAGAATCAAAGCGAATTATTTTTTCCTTTACATGAAACTTATTTCCAGTTTCAAAGGCTGTCCACAAATATTAAGATGCAGCTCATCTCCAGAGTTTGTGCCACATCAATATTAATATGACTTTAGTTCCAAATATGATACTTGCAAATCATGCCATCAAAGAAAGTGTGAAAGTTCAGGATGGCTTATGGAAGTAGCTTATTTAGATGCAAATAAAAAAAAAAAGAAAGAGACAAAAGTGGATGAATCCTTATCCGTCTGGAACACCTGACTTGCACTAGGGAAAAGATAGAGACAACTGCAGAAGCACATAGTAACTTAATATGGAGAGCTTTTGTTCTTTATGTCGATGTGGCAAGGTCTGAGAAAATGTCACGCTTAAGTGTAATGAGGACCAACTTAAATCTAGAAATTTGGGAATGTTCGGCTTCTAGTTCTCCCTACACCATCTGGGCATAAGACCTATCTGATGTATAGAGCTCTTTCTCATCGATCACTGATCTCAAACAAGTACATTTTTATTATTTACAGTACCTGATCAGTGTATTCATGATATGTAAAAAGTATACGGATGGAAGAAATAATGCCAGTAGATTCCGAGCATATCCATTCCTAATAGATCGGGGGTTTTAGAGAGGTGTTGAAAGCATTAGTTCCCATCAAAACTCAGTTTGCTACGCGGATAACACATGTACAAGGACTGCCCATTGCTGGTAGTCTTTGAACAACCTGTGTGCATCAGCACAATAGAAATCGCATCTCTTCGTTCCATAATTTCTCAATGTAACTACGTCAAAGTTCGGTACGAGGAAAGAACAGTTTAAAATGAATTTAAATCCTACAATAAATGGTTCAGATCAGAAGAATATTGGGTCGGAGCTAGTTCTCCGAAGTCCTTTTTTCACATATCATATGTCTGGAAAGAGAGATAGAAGCAGATAACGATGTGATCCAGCCCATCTGGAGACGCCAAAATTGTTTGACAAGAAACACAATCACGAACCTTGCTTCACTGAAAGACGAAGGGGATCGAGATAAAGGAAGGTTTTCTCTCGAACTAACCTCTCCGAGAGTCTTCCTGTGCTTAGCGTTCTTGACGGTGAGGTCCTTCTTCAGGTTCTGGAGCCTCGAGTCGATCTCCAATTTCCATAAAAGGACGAATGCATGACTCAGGAAAAAAAATTCACGATTTCCTCAGCAATTTGAGAAAAAATATACTGTAAAGCACGCACACCTGTTGCCGGAGGCTGACCAATTCCTTGCTGGAATCCTTGAACAGGGCGAGAAGCTCATCCACACCAGGGAACAACGGTGTGGACGATGAAGGTGTGCTCAACAAACCCCCAGCCCCTCCCTGCATTGATCGCCCTCCTTCCGAAGGCGCCCGAGAGTGCCCATTCGGCAGATTGACCCCCTCGAGGCCCCCTTCCGACGACTCCGCATCCTCATCCTGAAACGACGGGAGGATCTCGTTCACCAGGTTCCCGAACAGCGCATCAAACGAGAAATCCCCCTGCAGAACCCATCAAATCAACCTCATCAGAGGCCTGGCAAACATCCACAACCTAGATGTCCAACGGGGCAGCCACACCGGCCACGGATCCATCCACCTTGAAGTCGTTGAGATCGAAAAAAATGGTAGACCCGCCGGCCGCCGCCGGCGAAGACGACGACGCCATGACCATTCTCCGCCGTCCGCCACCGGAATCCTCCCTCACAGAGACGAGAGCAGCGGCGTGGTCTTCTTCTTCTCTTCCGGACGGACCCCTTCCGAATTCAGAAAAATATCGAATTTTACATTATTAATAATAAAATACGTAAATATATACATTATTAATAAAGATAAATTTGAATAATGTGGACGAAGAACGAGACAAATCCCTGCCGTACAGATCATCGGTCTGGGCGGTCGAGATTTTTCCGGTTTATTTTGACGGAATTTCTCTAAACAGGCGTGCGTCGTATTATTGCAGTTTAAAATACGTTAAATAAATAGAATGAGGTGAGGGTAATAATATTTCTGTGAAAATGAGTCAGAGTATGGTTTCTTCGTACAATTTTTGTTTTCTTTTTATTAATTTCTATTTAGGAAATAGGTTGAGCGGGTTACGGGGCCGTTTGACGGCCGTTGGGAGATAACGGAGGTGCCGTGATGTTTCCTCTCGGCCAAACAGGGACTGTAACCCGGTGGGTTTGTTCGGATCCTCTCTCTCTCTCTGTCTTCTCTCTCTTTTCTCACTCTCTTCTCACTCTCCCTTTTCTCTCTCTTCTCACACTCTTCTTTTCTCTCTCATCTCTCTCTCTCTCTCTCTTTCTCTCTCTATCTCCAGGCACCACCTCGGCAAGCTGTCGTTTCAAGTTGCAGGCCACATCACTGAGATTCCCTCTCCAATACCTCTCTCGCTCTCTTCGAGGAGCGGAGGAGGAGACCTTCGGATGCGGCAACGGCACCGTCTTCCCCATTGCCGCTGGCGTGAAGGTGAGTGCCCCCTGGGGAAGGACCCCTCTCCACGGGTGGCTTCTGACCCCTCCACTGGCTGGAACCTCAACTACCCTTCGTTGCAGTGATGATCGAGGTAAACCTGCCTATCCCTGCGTATCTATCTTCTCTCTGCTTTTTCTCTTTCTTTTGCGGCAGCTTGGCCTCCCACTCAGAGCTCCTCGAGCTGTAAATGGAGATAGGTTCTAGGTTGTTCTCCTCTGGTTTTCTGGCTTGAGAGGGTTCACCTGAAGGTGGCGACTGTTCCGAGAGTTGCGAGCGACCACTGTTCCACTGTTCGATTACTGCATCAACTTCCGGTGTTCCCTTTTTTCCCTGAGCAATGGCAAGGCCGGCGGATTCGATCTCCTTTCTTCTGGCTTTCCAGCATCCTCGGTGATCGATCATCCATTTCTGCAGATATTACTTTTTCTGGCGTCTACCACGTAGAATCCAGTATGAGCACCAGGCTGCTGTTGTGCATTGTACTCTTCTGTAAGACTAAGATTTTCCGATTTCCTTTGCGAGGCACCTTGTGGGGCGACCCGTACTTTCTTGCTTGTTTGAGGCAGGGTATTTTTTACCCACTGATCTTTAGTATTGCCGGACTTGATCTGTAAGACTAAATCTTGTGTAAACCCCTGTCCGCGATTTCTTTCCGTTTTATGTAATGAGGTCCTTTTCTCATCTCCTCAATCCTCAAGTTGTCATTCTTCTCCCAGATGTTACATTTTTCTTCCCAATCCAAATGTAGATTCTTTCTATGTCATTCCTATCTAGGTATGGCATTTCATTCTCTTTTGCCTCTTCCAAATGGTAGCTAACTTTTTGCCTTGCCTTTATTCGTCTTTGTCCCCTTACAGTTTCCCAAGACTTATCTGGATGATTTGAATCATCGAAGGATGGTTGATTCCATCCTGATTTAGTCACTAGCCCTAAGTCCACCAGTGCAGCCTATAGAACTAGATCAGCAGCTGGTAATCCCCATCAAGACTGAAATCTAATGTCGGTGTTGCTGGCATGTTTTTGTCACCTTTGGTTAAAATGATCGCGTTCTAAGTGTCTTTATGATGAAGTTCATCAATCACGACCACTCATTATTTCCTAAATTCTCTCTAATGTTCACTTTCTTGTGCATACGGAAAATCATCTGATCAGATGTATATGGTAGCATCCACTTTGCGAAAAAACAGTACAGCGCAAATTTTGTGAGCATTTTTCTCGTGATATGTACAAACCACTCTTTGCTGTCATTCTCTTATATCCTATATTCTTCATAGTTCTTTTCTTCAAAGGATATTGCTGGAAAGTTTTCTTTCTATAACCACACTGCGGCAGCTAATTGCTTTAGATACTGCTTAGGTGGGGTAGTTTACGGATGAATTCGTAAATATTTAACCTTGTGTTTCTTTTATTTTTCTTTCCTTTGTCAGTGATGGACAAACATTTGTTCTCCTCTTACTCAGTCCAATGTTTGCATCTTGTGCATAAAATTATTTGCTAACGTCTAGTTTCTTCAGTTAACCATGTTGCTAATTGCATGCCCGAAACGTACATGTAATATTGATGCGAGTCATGGGGTTTTTGTACATTTTCTCAATCCATGAGCCCATCCTTCTTTATATCTTTCAGTATTGGGCATGTGAAGACCATGCGTGATGAGACCATTCGAGGTAGAGGACACCGGTTGGGATCATTACAGTCAGACGAGTCAGGCTTGGATATGGAGCGAAATATTTATGGTCAACAAACTGGTCCAAATCTGCATTCGAGTCCACCATCTCTTCAGCCATTTGCATCTAGTGGTCAACACTCTGAAAGTAATGCTGCTTATTTCTCATGGCCAACATCTACTCGATTGAATGATGCTGCTGAAGGTCGAGCAAATTTCTTTGGAAACCTTCAGAAAGGGGTGCTGCCTAGAAATCTTGATCGACTTCCTAGGGGTCAACAGGCCTCCACATTGCTTGATTTGATGACCATAAGGGCATCTCACAGCAAAATACTGCGTTGCTATAGTCTTGGTACAGCAATAGGATTTCGGATCCAGAAGGGTGTGCTCACAAACATACCTGCTATTCTTGTCTTTGTTGCTCGGAAGGTTCACAAAAAGTGGCTTAGCAACATTCAGTGTCTGCCATCGGCTCTTGAGGTAAAGTGCCTGTTACTCTGGTTGGGATCCTGTCCATCATCATTCTTCCATTGCATCCCTGACTATTTATTAAACTTATTGGTGTGCAATATTACCTTTACCTTTTAATGTGAATAGGGACCTGGAGGTGTATGGTGTGATGTCGATGTCATAGAGTTCTCATACTATGGTGCTCCTGCCCCAACTCCGAAAGAACAATTGTACGATGAACTTGCAGATGGCTTGCGAGGAAGTGATCCCTGCATAGGTTCTGGTTCTCAGGTAGTTATGTTTTCTAAGTTTCCAGAAACCATCCTTATTTATGATGTCCAAAACCAGCAAAATGATCAATAGTTTTTATTCTTTTCAAGTTTACTTTCTTTTTATACTTAATAATTTGAATAGTATATCATTTTCTTCAATTATGGCTTTGCATCTTGTCATGTTTTTAAATTTATTTACCTTAGAAAATTACTCTCTGTATGATGTTTCTTTCTTTTTATTTGCTTTTCTTCATTGAACCTATACCTCATGAAACTATTTAAGATTGCTGGGGATGTCAATAGAGGCCCCTGATCAGTAATGGAGAAGTTCTTATACTGTTGAAACAATTCTCTCTGAGGTTTGCTTAATCTTAATATTTCTGAAAGTTTGATCTATGGGTGTACTGAATACCTTGTTGTATAACGGGCATATTAATACTCCGGTGAAGGACAGGCTATTTATATACTCTTGGACTGTGCAGACCTGTCTCTGGTTTCACCGTGTTTATGTGTTGTCCTTGTTTTTGGATCTCTGTGATGCGTTTATGCCCAGATTCAGACCAGGGTTGACTTGGTACTGCATATGCTGTGACAGGGTTAGCATTAAACACTACCTGGTAGTAAGGTCTAGTTTCCATTTTATAGCTAGCTGTAACTTTTATCTTCTTTCCTCAGGAGAGCCTCAATGTATGATATGAGCAGTTTCGGATGGTTGATTTTGAATGTAAATCCAAAATTCGGTAGTGTATTAACTGCCCATTTAGATTTGCTTCTGTTTTGAATGCATTGTTAGAAATAAGTTATTAATTCTTGTTGAATATCTGGTTAGATTCAACGAAGGGGACTTGTTGGCCCAAGTCTTTATGTTTTCTCTAGACAATTTGGAGGAGACCTGTTTATAACCTAGAAGCTAGTGAAATCCTGGGCATGATGGTTTTTGGTTTTAGATCAATCATTCTAGGAATAGCATAAAGCAGAGTCTGATGACTCTTCATAGAGAACTTGGAAATAGATCTTCAATGATTAAATGCTAAGTTCAATCATTGGTTGGCTTGCGTTGTGTCACGCCCTTGAAAATTCAAGACTATAACTTTAAGCTGTAATGTCTTTTGGAACTTCGAGGCTCTTTTTTTTTCCCTTTTCTGAGTGGTGTGATTTCAATAGATTCTATGGTTTACATATAACACAAGGTGTTGCGTTGATTTAAGTGACTGGAACCATGACAAAGTAGACTACAGCACAAATTTTGTTTGTCATTTTTCTATTTCAGTTACGAATCATGGATTGGACCCTCTCATTTTCTCTGTTTATCTGTTTCTTTCAGAGGAATTTTTTTCCTTTTTGTTTTGCTTGTGGCTTCAATCTTTTCCTTTTATTCTGTTTGCGATCTCATTCAGCCAGCAAAGTCTCACCTTTGCAAAGTTCAATGCTGTTACTTTCAAACATTGTCAAATTCGTTCCATGGTTCTTAGGTTGCAAGCCTTGAGACCTATGGAACCTTGGGTGCCATTGTGAAGAGCCGAACAGGCATGAGGCAAGTTGGTTTTCTCACAAATCGGCATGTTGCTGTCGATTTAGATTACCCTAACCAGAAGATGTTTCATCCATTGCCTCCGAATCTTGGTCCGGGTGTTTATCTTGGTGCTGTTGAGAGGGCAACATCATTCATTACTGATGATCTGTGGTATGGGATATTTGCTGGAACTAACCCAGGTATTGTTATTTTTTTCTTCATGTTGTTATGTTCTGGTGGTTAACCAAAGCCATCATAGCTTTGTAGTTTGGTGCTTGCTTAAGAATGAATACTACACAACACATAGAATGGCATCTGAGGGTTTATGGTAAGTTCAGTTGTTGTGGCCTGCATATTCCATTATGCATCAGCATTATTATACTGTTTTATTTATTTACATAAGACGATTCCATTAGAGTTCCTAGCACGTCATGCAGCTGCAAACTCTGTATCATACTTTGATGCCTTCGTTTGGCGTTGACTAAATATACATGTTGTCTTTGGTGCACCCTCAGAAACTTTTGTGCGAGCCGATGGAGCATTCATTCCTTTTGCTGATAATTTTGATATTTCAAACGTTACCACCTTAGTTAAGGGAGTTGGTGAGATCGGGGATGTCAAGTGCATAGACTTGCAAGCTCCAATCAACAGCCTCATAGGGAGGCAAGTGATGAAGGTTGGAAGGAGCTCTGGTCTGACTACTGGAACTGTTATGGCATATGCACTTGAATATAACGACGAAAAAGGCATATGTTTCTTCACTGATTTTCTTGTCGTGGGCGAGAATCAGAAGACATTTGATCTTGAAGGGGACAGTGGGAGCCTCATCATTTTAACAGGACAGGATGACGACAAGGCACGTCCAATAGGGATTATATGGGGTGGGACAGCAAATCGTGGTCGTTTGAAGCTTAAAAGTGGTCATGCCCCAGAAAACTGGACGAGTGGTGTTGATCTTGGGCGACTTCTTGATCTTTTGGAACTTGACCTTATAACAACCACTGATTCTCTTCAAGGTACTCTTCATTTGTCTTGAAAGCTTAGTTGTATAGTGCAGAACTTATCGTAGTGAGATGATAGTGGAGTTTGGTGCTTCCTTGATATTATTGCTGTCATCTGACAAGTCTGTTTTTCTTCATTTTTTTTATGATTTTTTCTCATCATAGAAGCCATCCAAGATCAACGAAATGCCATGGCAGGAGCTATTGATTCTATCGTTGGGGAGTCATCTCAGGCGGAAGAGACACCGACAACAGAAAAGCCTGGTGACATTTTTGAACCACTAGGTTTCAACATCCAGAAAATTTCAGTTGACGGTGCTTCTGGTTCAGAAACAAATGCATGTTTTGCACGCACAGAATATCATATGGATGGAATTGATGTTGTTACAAATGTGGAAGAGCACCAATTCATTCCGAACTCTCCTATTCACCGAAATCAGGAAGAGAACTCTGAACTGAGGAGTCTTTCCACATTAAGAGATGCATCCGATGAGGATCTTTGCTTCGCTTTGCATTTAGGTGATCGAGGACATAAGAGACAACGTTCTGACTCTAAATCTGACATGGAATCGTTGAAATAAGAAGGATTCAAGCTTAAGGAGGCACTACATTTGGTTTTGAGAATTCATTGATGCTCAGGACTGATGATGGAGTTGTAATTTCTGATGAAACCCGGCAAGGTGTTATAATGAAAAAGCTTGCTGTTGGTATCTCTCCCCTAGACATAGGCTTTGTAGAATTGCTGACCAGCAAATTATAACAATGCTTTGGGCTTTTTTCTACTGGCTCCTTGGAGAGGTTGGGAAATGGTTCTGTGAGGAGGGCTTCCAAAGGTCAGCTCTCTGGTTAGTTTTGTACCCAGTAATTCTTCCTTTTTTTTTTAATTTAAAGATATGCCAACTTAATAGAATTATAATATGTTGGGTTAATTTCAGTTCTAGAAGTTATGCGTCCTTCATCGTGATGTCTTGACAGAAGTCTGATGTGCTACTTTTATATTATTTTTTTTACAAGCAATATAAATTAGCATGCAGCATGAGCTTCCCTCATCACTTCTAACTGAGAATAGTTATTCTGTATCTTTGGAAAGTATTGTGGAAAGTTCCACTGAAGGTGTATATCTCTGTTTAACCTTTGGCAATATTGAATTTCTTTGATATCTTTGATAAAATTAGACAAATATCCCTAGGTGTTCGTGTCCAAACGACCTCTTTGCATCCATATGTTGAATTCAAAGAAGTAAATGTTATCTGTTGTTCTCTGGTTTCCAAGTTCAAATTAATTTCCAACATGAACTGTTTGTTAATTCAAAGCAAGTGCTGGTGCACTATTCTCTAAGTTAAAACTCAATACTGCCACAAACACTGTTGTGTACTATTGTCATTGTATCTAGCACCTTAGACCTTATCTGCATTGGTATCATATCAATTTTCATATTCAATGTGTGGGTCCTATGTATAACCTTTTAATTTCATTTTAAAGATGAGAAAACCTCAATTCTATCTTAATTGTTGTTAATCTTTTCAAAAGGGTATTTGGAAAATATTAAGGGATTTTCAAGACAAATATGGCTAAAATATGAAGACCATAGGAGAAGTATTTAATCCTAAAAGGTAGAAGTCAAAATATGCAAACAATGAGTTATTTCGTGTGCAAAAATCTAATCCAAAAAACCTGGTGTGGACTGTTAAACTAAAAGTGTTGACCACTACGGTTTGAGACATAATTTTCAAACACTTGAAAGGAATAGATGCTAGGAATAGAAGAGTTGACCCTATCGCCAAGAAGTGTGATTTTCATTCAAATGTGGATACACAATCATGAAAGGTGTGAATATTGAAGCTTATATCCATTGACACCTACTTAAGAAAGAAGAAGATCAAGTTCGAGTGTTGACATCCGACTTTAAAGATTTTATATCTGCAGTGTTGCAGCAGCTAATTTGTCTACAATGGAAATCCTAAAAAAATCAAAATTATATATGTTTTCTAGCCATGAGAGGAAGCACTTTTACCAATGTCAAGTTGGGATTTTGTGCTTATGAATGACATAAAGGATTTTTGGTGTTCTTCCACTATATGAAATTCCAAACCTTAGAATACTGCCCCTCTTATGCCTCCAAAGTACTCCACACATGTTCAAGATGTTGTGTATGTCTTGAACTAGAATCTTGATCTCCTTCTTGACCTTCTTGATTTGGTCTTCACCCTCCTCTCTCATTGGTGCCACCCAAAGATCCTTTAGGGTGGATTCCTTTCAAAGTTGTATTCAATTAACCTCATAACTAGCTGAAATACTAGTTACATCTATAGTGGGCCAAGCCCACTTATTTTAGAAGAAAGAAAGGAAGAACTCATTAAGTAGTCCATAACTAACTTAAGGGCCTAGATAAAAGAGAGAAACTACATAAGAGAAACTAATAATAGAGGATCTTAGCTTATTTGACACCCTCTCACAAGTCAAGTGTAGATGTTAGACATGTCTAACTTGAATACAAGCTTTTATTGAGTTGGTCCCAATAGTCCCTTGGTGAATATATTTGCCACTTGATTAACAAAATTGATAAACAAATTTATCATCTCTTCTTCAATCTTTTCCTTGATAAAATGATGAGCTATTTTAATGTGCTTTGTCCTATCATATTGGATTGAATAATGGGCAGTGGCTATAATTGATGGATTGCCACAATACAATTTAATGTAACCCTTATAATAAATATGTAGATCTTTAAATAGCATTCTTATCCATATTATTTCACATATACCTTGAGCCATAGCTCTAACCTCAGCTTCTGCATTGGATTTAGATACAACCTTCTACTTCTTACTTCTCTAGGAAACCAAATTTCCACCAATGAAGGATTATTAGCCTGATGTTGACCTCCTATTAATTACTAAACTTGCATAATCTATGTTTGTATATATTTTTACAGTACTATCGCCACTTTGTGAAAGTAATAGGCCTTGTCCAATAATATCCTTTAAATATGCTAGAATATGGTAAGTTGCTTGCAAATAAATTTATCTTGGGTCATTCATGAATTAACTCAAGGAACTCACAGCATATGTCACATCTAGTCTAGTATGATTTGGATAAATCAATTTTCCAATCAACCTTTGCAAGGATTCCTTATTAATTGGATGACTATCACCTCTTACTCTAAGCTTCACATTTATATTCATTAGTATGATTGTTGGTTTATAAGTAAGTTGACCAATTTCCTACAGAAGATCAACAATATATTTTTGTTGAGAAATAAAGATACCTATTCTAAGTATGCCACCTCAATACCAAGGAAATACCTTAGTCTCCCAAGGAACTTAATATCAATCTCTTGTGATAGGTTTTTACTTAGAATTTAGATCTCATTTGTGTCATCCCTTGTGATAAGTATATCATCAAATATGCCCTCTCCCTATGTAGAATATGACTTTGAAGACTCTCATACTTTAGATTTAAAGCCATTAAGAATGAAAATGTCATCTACTTCAATATGTAATTTCTTTCATTGGAGTGAGAATTTTTCACATATTAACAATGGTCAATCTCACACCATATAGCCTTCAGTTCACAATTGTTGTTTCCCATTATACTACTTTCATTACTTTGATGTTCAACCATAAATCTTCTAATCATTTTGCTGCTTGGAGCAATTTTGGTGGACTTCATTCTACAATTCTTTCATAGTAGTCACACATTTTAGTTGTCATGGTTCTAAGCAGCCATGAGTGAATAAAAGTTTCCTTGGATTTTCAATAGCATCATATTTAGATGCTTTGATAAACCTCTCCTAAGGAGTGTTAACTTTTCAAATTTCTCCCATTGGTACAGATTAATATCATTAAATCTCAAGTGCATAAGTATACCTAACAATACATGCATGATCTCAATCACTAACTTTGTTATCATGATTGAGTTGGATGTAGAAGCTTCTTGCCACATTGACATCTCATGTTTCCTAATTCTTGAAATCAAGAATGGCTCTCAAGTGACCTCTTGAATGCTTGCTTCTAGTAGGATAGAAGGCATGTCCTTGATCATGATCATAAGGTCAACTCCAATCCTTGTCCTTGCAATGCTTCAAGCCTCAACCTTCTCTAATACCATGTTGAACCAAAATTGTGATCTCCTTAACTTTCTTGATTTGGTCTTCACCCTCTCCTCTCATTAGCGCTGCCTAGAGGCCCTTTAGGGTGGATTCCCTTGACAATTATATTCAATTAACCTCATAACTGATTTAAATATCAGTTACATCTATAGTGGGCCAAGCTCACTTATTTTAGAAGAAAGAAAGGAAGAGCCCATTAAGTAGTCAATAACTAACTTACTTAAGGGCCCAAATAAAAGAGAGAAACTACATAAGAGAAAACCAATAACAAAGGATCTTAGCTTGTCTGACAATATGTATAGGCAAGTATAGTTTTTTACATTAGCTTTTGCTTTGAATTAGCTTGCTACTAACCAAAATATGAAAGATGGGTGGGCATTTTGAGAACATCAACCAATTGTAAAGGTTTTATTGGTACCCTTTGAATGTGAGTCAATCTGTGGGATATGATTGATATAAACGTAGTGTAAATGCTCTAGGAGAGACGTGTAGATTGGAACAGATTTTAGATTGAATAAACTACAATGAATGTCTCTTGTCACACATTTGAGGTTTGCCTAGCTTGTGAAGTAGCCACAAGGTCTTTTATCAACTCTTGTGATATTGTGTTATCACACATTTGTTGTGTAGAACTCGGAATACTTTTCAATGTTGTGGTGCAACTAGGCTTTAGGACTAAAGATATAATACCCTACTAACTAGTGTTAGGATTGTCCTTAATATTATAAATATTGAACAATATTACACTAAATGTTAGAGTGATTGCAATTGTGTTGATCATTTCAAAACAAAGTGTTATTATCAAGGGGTGTGAAACTGAAGAAGCCTTTTCATTGACAAATAAATGGATGTAATAATGTGATAAAGTGTAAATGAAGGAGATGGGTGGTTAGCAAGCTACAAATTGATGAGAACTATCATATTGTGAGGTGGGACTATCATTTTCAACTTGAATTGAGTGGTTCTAGGGATGTATCACATGGGCCAATTTCATTATTTCTGTGAATGAATATACCATTGACATATAGTGAGAGGTCTCAAACAAGGTTACTGTTTAACTTTATTGTTTGATTTGATAATTGAAATACCAAGTAGAATGATGATAGAGGAAAGGAGATTTTGAGCATGTGAAACCTCTAGCCTTAAATTATGAGAAGAGTATACTTAGGAAGGCATCTATTCTTCTAGGATGTGAGGTGAGATATTCTCTCTGTTCTTAAGATTTCAAGGGCAATTATGAAGAAGTGGGGATAAATGTTGATGATAAGATACTATTAGTTGGGAAAGAAGTTGTAAACATATAGATAGTGGAAGAGTGAGTATCATCATTATAGAGACTTCAATTTGGTTGCTTTTACCAAGTAATTAAATATTAGATTTATTGTAGAGGCAAAGTATATGATGTAATGACATATGCATTTAATGGTACAATACTAGGTAACATTAATGATATATCTAAGATGTCAAAAAATATTTCTAAGCTAAAGATGTTCCAGCATGAGTCTTAGAGATTTGCTCTAAAAAATGGAAATGAAAACTCTTGTTTGATTGTGTGAGCAAGCAGTGTGGGGCCTTTATTATTAATGACATGATGACATCCAAATGTTGTTCTACAAGGAGAGGAGATTGATGGCCAAACATAATCAGAAGCTTCAGAAATTAGGTCATTTTGCCACCATAGCCTTTGACATATAAGGAGTTATTAGAAAGATATGAGGATGGGGTTGGAATTGAAGATTGGGAAGTACATGGATCCATTAGAGAGGCGTCACAAAGTATATCAGATTTTGAAAGCCCCTTTCCATAAAAAATGAGGGGTTTTGGTGTGGAGAGAGTCTCACGTGAAAGATTATCTTGATGAGCTTGCCCACATTTATGAATATGAGATTTACACCTTAAAAAGTTAATGAAAGGAAGGAGAATCTGTGAGGCACTTGTTCCTTGAGTGTGCTCTCTATCAAGAGATTTGACTTAAAAATAGAAAGTGGTTCTTTGATTTGATAGTTTATCCTTTAGTTTTGCAAATTCTCACCGGAACTGGAAGATCATTTTAAGATCTTTGAGCATATTTGAGGGTTCAATGTGACTATTGTCACTTCGGCCAAGACAAAAGATGAGACTTTACCACTGTGGAGCGGCTTTTTACAAAAAGATGAGGGTTCAAGTTGTTTCTATCTAGATAGAGATAGGCTCAAGTACATGAGAAGAAAATCCCAATATTGTTTGGCTTTTGGTAGGGAATATGAAGTGAATAGTGCCCATGAAATTCAATGAAATGTTTATGTTATTCTAAGAGGAAATTGATTATAGTGTGACCATAATCAGATGCATAACTATGTGACCCAATTCACAATGTAGCCATCATTGTATGCCAATGCATGGACACTTGGAAATGTTAGATGCAGATAATATTTAATGTAAAAGAGAATGTGTTAAAAGCAATGCTTGAAATATATAAACTAACAATCCTAGAACACAAATGTATCACCTAATATGTACTTATCACTACTCATTATCATTTCTTCCTATGTGAAACTATTCTAATAAATATCATAGCTTGTTTCACTTGAATGTTTATCATAGTTTACTTACAAATCATGTACATGCTAAGAACAAAGTTAACCTGCTCTATTTTATCCATATCTTCATAAATAAAAGAATCTAAAAGAGTGGTGTTCTTACTCCATCCTAGAAATTGTTAAAGCTTTAAGTAATAATCTCCTAACCATCTATTTAATGCCACTCTGATGCTTCTATAAGCCTGGAAAGGTAACAATTTAAGTGAAATATAGTAGTGTTAGCCTTTAGAATTTCATTGCTTGTGTTTCCTCATAAGTCATTGACAAAATGTCTGGTAATTACCATCATATATGCCCATTCTTTTCACCATATATGTGATTTCTGCTACATGCAATTTCTGCTATATGTATGAGTCATTATAATTGAGTGTAGCTTGCAGGTGCACTTACCCCAAAGAAGCCAAAAATTGCTCATAATTTCTAGTCAAGTCGAGTTAGTCATATATGAAAAAATATCTGCAAATTTTTCATGAGATAAGTGTAATGATGAGTTTATTCACTCAATGTTGTCTCCTATACTTTGGATCACAAGAGAGATATGTCTTCTTGTTTGTGCCTATAATATTCACTGCTCATCATCTTCTACAGAGTTTGTGGATTGAAGCCTTAATGTCAATGGATAATTGATCTTGGTATTATTTTTTTTCCCTTTTTTCAGTGGTTTGATGATGAGGGAAAATATTTCTCATTTTTTTATGATGGCTGTTAATATTACTAGCACTTTTTAGGTAATTTGGCGGGCAACATAGAATCGATTTGACTAAGATTAACGCAAAATTAATTAAAAACGTATGGGAACTATTGGTTGCTTAAGAAACTAATAAGAGTTTGTGCTTCTTTACCTTGCCTTTTAGCTTTTGTTTGTTTTCCTAATCTTCTATCATTCTAGGTCAGATTGTGATTATCCTGTGACATTCTTTTGAGAGAACATATTGGGTACATGTCTAGGAGCATAGATAATTATCTCACTATTCTTCTTCACTATGATTATACCCCCTAAGAGTATTTTCTAACATATCATAAGATACATGTTCTTGAAAATCAGCACTCCTCTTAACCCATATTAAGGTCTAGTGTTTAGGGTTTGTAATAGCGATACACCACAGATATAGTGAGCCTTCTTTGGGTTGCATTCATATTTTTTGATAGTGTTTATGTTTTCTCTCTCACAACCAATTCATCATGGGTTGACCAACCAAACACATTATTAGTGATTGATTTTAAAAAAGATAAAAATTCCATTCATGCCAACATAACAAGGATGAATGTCAAATTTAGGGTTGTGAACAATTGGGGCAAGCATGTTGACTACAAATAGAGTTGTTTAACATATCACATTTTTAGGGTTATGTGGAAACCACACCAACCATTTTTCACCAGTTCAGTTTTGTGATCTTGATGGACCTAGCTTAAGATAACAAGAAAGTACTTGAATTTTTCATAGATAGAAAGGTGTTCATCTTCTGCCTAGCATTCCATACAGCAAGACTATTCGATCGAAAAGCACACCTCATGACCTCTACTCTGGGATGGAGATTGGGGAGTGAAGATCAGAAGATTAAGGGATATGAATGCATCACCTCAGAATATGAAATGCATCAGCAGCTTGAGGGACCTGAACATGAAATGGGAGGGTCCTCAGGATATTGATCTGAGGAAATAAAGGGTTTATTGGGGATTAAAAAAAAGATCATCATTATTTGAGGACTAAATATTTAAAAAAGCATTATAATAATACTATCACCCATATTACTCTTCATGGGAGTAATGCGAAAATATCAGGCTACGACCAATTTTATTCACACAAATCTGCAGAAATCAAGCGGCACTGTTCATGCAGCTCTACTATTTGAGAAAGGGTAGGCTTTACATGATATTTTCACATTATCAATCATTTTTTTCGCCATATTATGCTATTTTGCATGTTTATTTGAGCAAAATTATTTGGCCACAGCCGCTGGTTCGTCATTCATTGGGCTCACTAGGTTCTTAGATGGAAATAACATGGAAATAATGCGTTTATTGGGAATAGAAAAATAATATTATAAGTGGGTTTTTATAGACTATTGTGATGTCCCTCTTTTATTTTTAGATTATTCGTGGGTTTTTTGATGGGATATTTAAGCACAAAAAAGGCAGGCAAAGGCGCTATTTTTTATGGATATTTAAGCAATAACATCAGATCCCGGCGGGTAGAAGTACTTCCCTTCACCTTGACTCCACTCGGATGTGCTTCCGTTGACTTTCGGGTCTTTTTTGAACGGAGGCCACGTGGCCAGGAGGGGACGGTAGGACGGGATTTGGTCGTCCTTGTCAACGGCTACTAGCCGTTGATCTTCGTTCTCTGTATAAACGCGCATGGTCGGGAGGTGCACCGTGCTTGCTCGTCAACGCGTCAGATTCCCTTCCAACAAAGTGGGGGCCCTATTCCGGGTTTTTTTGTTTGGATCGGAGGAGTTATGGAAGAGGTTGGTAGATGAGCCGGCTAATTAGTTATTTATTATTCCGGGCCCAATCTTATTATTTTTTGTGAGCCCGAAATTGGTTTTTTAATGTATTTTTACTATTTTCGGCGTGTAAAAATTAGATTTTTTACTTTTTTTATGCGAGCTTTTAAGATCGGAGATGTCTACTCTGTGACTCGTTGGGTCGCTGCCCGTCTAGGAAAGTGATTTTTTAGGGTATTGTTTTGATTTTTCACTCCAATATCATGGTTTTTCAGGTTTTCCTTATTTAGCATCAGCGTGAAAGGTGGGTCTCTGTCTCTGTCTCTCTCTCTCTCTCTCCTTCTCTCTCTCGCTTTCTCAAGGCGAGCTACGCGAGGCCTCCTGCTATTTTCTGGCTGCTACCCTCATCGACTTGGCGTTCCCAGATATTATTAACCGCTAATTTTTCTGTTCGAATTTCCAAAAAAATAAACTCTAAATAGCCTTTGGGGTAATTTTCCGGACTGAACAGCCCATTAACAGCCCAATATCTCACCCCCACCCCCCACCCCCCCACCCCACCTCTTCTCTGGCTTCATTATGGACTGTTAATGGACTAAGCAGCCCATTAACAGCCCATTCTCTCTCCCCCTAATAATACACATTTATTTATTTAATTTTATATATCGAGAGAGGGAGAGGAGAGAGAGAGAGAGAGAGAGAGAGAGAGAGAGAGAGAGAGAGTTGGTGTAAGCTTAATGCTCAGATAAGCGAGGTCTTGTAAACTTAAAATGAAATATCACTAACCGTAATTTTCTTTCCGAATTTCCGAAAAGAATAAACTCTATAAATTGCAGTTGGGGTACTTTTCCGTAGTGCCCGGCCCATTAATAGCCCAATATCCCCCCCCCCCCCCTTTCGAGCAAACTATTTACTCCGCTCCATCCCGTTCCCTACTCGTCCACCTCTGTCCGGGCACTACGGACAGAGGTGGACGAATGCTCCCCGAATGCTCCGGCGAGGAGAACGCCGCCCGGCGACGGAGGCGCCGCAAGAAACGGCGGAAGCATCGCTGGTGACGGCGGAGGTGGCGCCGGGATGCGGTGGGCTTCACCGCGCGCTGGCCGAGTGCCACCGGCGCGCGCGGGATCCCTGGCTGCTAGAGGCCGCCTGCCGACACCTCAACCGCGCGCTCGCCGATTGTCTGGTGGAGGCAGCGGCGGCTTGCTCCAGCGAGGCGGAGGCGACGCGGATCCTGTGTTCCAGCGCCGGCACCGCCGCCAAGCGCGCGCAGTGCCGGCGCGCCGAGATCGCTCTCTCCGCCTGCCTCTCCTCGCTCCAGTCCCCGCCGTAGTTCACCAGTATACCCTCTCTCCCTCCCTCTCTGATATTCTCCTCCTCCACCTTCTCCTCCTCCGGATCCGCGATTTGCGGGGATGCTCGTTTCTCCCCAGGAGAAGAAGAAGGAAGAAGGAAACAAAAATTAGGGCAGAAGGAGGACGGGGGAAGAAACCTGATCGGGGAAGACGAAGCCGGAGATCGGCTGTTTGTTTCTCTGGACATTTTCCTCATCTGCGAAGGGAGAGGATCGAGTCCAGGCCGACTAGTACCGCTTCCCGAGGATGACGCCGACGATGACGGAGACCAGAGCCACCCCCAGGACAAACTTCAAGGCTATGGCGGTGCTCGGCTCGGCGGCGGTGGTGGCGCTGCTCCCGGAAACGGCCTCGGAGGGCTGGCCTCTCTTCAGCTCCGGCGAGAGCGCCGGCGGCGCTATCCCGATGTCCCTCGTCTCCACTCGCTGCAGAACCAAACAATAAGCACCAAATAACTCTGGGGTAAGAAGAAGAAGAAGAAGAAGAAGAAGAAGAAGAAGAAGAAGAAGAAGGTAGTGCAGGTGGAAGAACATGTGATTGACCAGGAGGAGTGATTCAGACATGGGCAGTCGGTGAACCGTTGACTTTAGCAAGGGATCGCCAGGGGTATTTGACATTTGGATGTTAGAAGAGGAGGAGATTATACTTGCCTGCTCAGACTTTTTGCTTGCCAGCTGCAGCTTGCTCTCAAGCTCTGCGATCTTCTCCTCGAGATGAGAAGCCTTAGTCAACTTGCTCCTCAGTTCTTCAAGCTCTGAGTTGACCTCTGCGCCCTGGAGGCATCGTCATCGTCCAAGCAACCGATCAGAAGAACAAACGTTGAAGTTCTTTCACCAGAAAACGATCATAGAGAAGAAAATAGATTAGAAGCAATTTGACAGAAAGGGCTCTCACTTTTTCCTTAATCTGCGACTCGTATTGGTGCAGCTGGGTCTTGAGAGCGTTGACTTGCTCCTCTAAGCTCGCTGCATGTTGGCGTTGGGCGTCTACCTCACCTTGTAGCTGCTTCACGGTCGCCTCCTGTTCCAGGTCCTTTCTGGACTCCGCTTCTTTCTGTTGGTTCAGGAAACCCACTTCAGAATTTTTCAATGATTTCTTCGCACCCACATCTTACTGATGATCAAATTGGAAAGATCCGGCTCCACCAAACGACATTTATGATACATATATGCATACACATGTTAGAGAGAGAGAGAGAGAGAGAGAGAGAGAGAGAGAGAGAATGCTGGAAATGAATGATGATAAGGTCTTCAAACATGTAGCAAAGACAGAAACTACGAGCAAAGTCAAAGCCTACGACTATTGGATTCAAAGCATCATGATTACTGATATCTTAGTGAATAAAATAAAAACCCTAAAAGTGATCACACAAATGTGCCGAACAGAGATTATCAGGGAAGGGACCCAATGACCTGTTCTGCAGCTCTCTTAAGGGCAAGATCGAGCTCCACTTGCAGTTTCCCCAAGTTTTCAGATAAAACATCTTTTTCTTTAAGCTTTTCAGCATGATCCTTCACCATGGACGCCAACTCTGCCTCCTTTTCACCCACTTCTGACTTGATTCTTTCAATCTAGAGCGAAGAAAAAAAATCGAATAAAGCAAATCCTCCAGCATATAACTTCATTAATGAAGATTCACATGTTATATTTCTCTGGCATGTTCTACGTACCTGTTCTCTTGACTGAGTTTCTGATGACGATAACTTATCTTCAAGCTCCACAAGTCGAGTCTGCAAGTCTGATTTCACTTTTAGCTCGGCCGACAAGGTTTCCATGGTAGCATTCAGAGAGCTTTCCTTCTCTCTGTGATCCCTTTGTACTTCCTCAATCTGAGCTGTTAAAGATGCAATCTGCCCAACAAAACTTCTCATCAACACTACAATTCCCACTAAATCTACGCACAAAGTATATAAATATATATATATATATAGATATATTCGTGTGAACTGACCTGAGATTGAAGCGTCTTGCCTTCAGAAGCAACGTTGACCAGCTCTGCAGATGTCTTCTCATTGTCTTCCTGGAGAGTCGCCAATGTTCTCTTCAGATCACTCGTTTTCACCTCATATGCTGCTAGTTCTTCAGTGAGCTTGATGTTTGTCTCAACTAAATACGTATTCTCGGACTCCAAGCGACTTGAGCTGCCCTTTTCTTCCTCGATCGTCCCCTCCAGTGCCCTCAGTTTTGACAGAGCTGCATCGAGATCGCTCTTGTGGGCTTCTACAGAAGCCGCAGCTGCACGGAGTTCCTCCTCGTAAGACTCTATCTTGCTTTCAAGCTCATGTATCTTAGCATTCAGTTCTTGGGTTTCAGAATCCCTCTGAGTCAATCTCCCATGGGCTTCGTTCAGCTGAAGCTGTGCTTCTTTTGTGCGAGATTCTGTTTCAGAGTGGAGCTGCGATACCTTTGTTACCTGATCTCTCAGTTCATCGATAGCTTTCAGGTGGAGCGCCAGCTGCACTGCGGTGGCGTCTTTCTCTGCGTGAACAGAGCTCAGAGTACTGTGAAGCTCATCAGTTTTACTTCTATAGGCCTCGAGTTCTGCCTGGAGCTTCTGGTTTGTCTCGGCCAGCAGTTTATTCTCTGACAAGGACGACTCGCATCTCTTCTCAGAATCCAAGAGCCTGGCTTCGAGTGAGACCAGCTTATTGGACCTTTCTTCCAGTTCGGCCTCAAGGGAGACCAGTTTTTCTGCTGCTTTGGCCGCCTGTTCTTGGTGGGACGCCGCCTGTTCTTCGAGATTCTTCAACTTTTCAGTCAACAGCTTAGTTTCAGAGTCCTTCTGATCAAGATTACTGATTGCTTCTTGGAGCTTCCTCTCTGAATCCTTGGACACAGATTCATGCAAGGCCTCCAGCTCTAAGCTTCTGGCGGTAGCCTTCTCCACGGCTATTCCATGGTGTTCAAGCTTCTCCAATGTCTCCCTCTCTCTGACGCCGGAAGCCTCAAGCTCCTTCTCCACATCCTGCAGCTTTTCATTGGTTGACTTTAACTCGGTTCTCAGAGCCTCAATAAGATTTTCGGCTTCCGAATGCTTTCCTGCAGAAATCTCGGATAAATCTTTAAACTTTTTCTTTTCCTCAGTGACGGCGTTCAGTGTGTCCTGGTACTCTCTTTCAAGGTCAACGGACTTGACTTTGATGGCTTCCAGTTCTGCAGAGAGCTCAGCCACAAGACCACTCTTCTGCATTAGAAGCAGTTCCAGGTCACCGATTCTCTTCAGCGAATCCTCTTCTTTCACAGAAGCAACCTTGACCAGTTCTTCCAGTTCGGCGACACGATCTTGAGCTGCAGAGGCCTGAATCTCTTTCTCGCCGAGTTTCTCGGCGAACTCATTCAACTTCTTTTCAAGATTTACCTTCATCGACGACGACTTTTCTGCAGAAGATTCTAGCTGGGTGATTCTTTCCTGGTATGCTTGGAAATGGCAGGTGGACATGGCGGCTTCTTCCTCGGTGGATTTCAACAAATCAGCGAGCTCTGAAATCTTGCCACGGAGTTTCTTGATCTCCACTTGATCATCATGGCCCTTTAATTCTGCCAGATTCAGCTGTTTCTCAAGCTCCACGTTTCTTTCTTCTACTGATACCAGTTTCAGTTCGGCTTCTTTCAATCGATCTTTGACTTTTCCCAACTCGGCGTTGAGTTCGAGGTGCTCTTGCGTTGACTTCTCTGTCCTTGCACCGAGTTCTTTATGGAGCTCCTCCAGTGAGTCGAGCCTCTCTTGAAGCTCTGCGCTGTGGGATTGGGCGCTCGTTAAGAGTGAGTCACTTTTACTCAGATTCTGCTCAGATAGGGCCAGCTTGTTCTCGAGTTCTCCAACGGTTATCTCGAGGGTTTCTCTCTCCTTTGACGCCTTCTGCAGTTCCTCTTGTAGCCCCAACACCTGGAGTTCATACGATTTGAGAGTAGAATCCCTGGCCGCCATTTCCTCTCCCAGCTGTTTCTCTGAAGCGCTGAGAGCATCCACCTCCTTCTTGAGCTCCTGGATACCCAGCTCTTTCTGTTCCAGCTCTAGTCTGGTCTTTCCGAGTGCTTCCTCGGCCTGCTGGCTCTGTTTGACTTGCCCATCCAAGACTTTCAACTCCTCCCGCAATAAAGTCAACGTACTATCCATCTCCTTCGCATCCGTTTTTGCCGCTTCAAGCATTTTCTCGAGCTCCGAGGCCCTTTTGGACTCCGAATCTGCCAGCGCCGCTTTTTCATCGCTCAGCTCCTTGAATCTGCTCAGCTCATCAGCAGATGAGGAGAGATCCTGTTCCAGCTTCTCCACCCTTTCCTTGGAACGTTCCAGCTCCAAGGTCAGCCCATCAAATGCTTCTTGGGTTCTCTGTGCCTGCTGGAGAGAGTCAACCTCTGACTGATGCTTCAACCGCGCCTCCACCATCTCTTCTTTAAGCCTCTTCAGATCGCTCTCCAGCTCCTCACAACGCTTGTTGCTCTTCTGTAATGCCTCTTGCGAAGTAGAGACCTCTGATTGAAACCGGGCCTTCTCAGATTCTGCTTGCTGCAGCTCACTGCTGAGCTGCTTGATTTTGTCATTTGCATCCTCCAATTTGCCATCTGGTGGAGGGGTTGACTCTTTTACCGCCGTTGAATTTGAATCGGGAGAATTGACTTTTACATCTATTGGCTCCTTCTCTACCTTTATAAATTCTCTCTCTAGTGCGGTGTCTTCTTCGTCATCTTCCTTCTTTAATTCTTCCACCTGGTGATATAATAACAAAAATTAGCTAGTATTCTGAATTCCCCCTCTTGGTCCCATCAATCTGTTCAGAGAGTGAGCCCTTAGACAAAAAGAAGTCAACTGTGAATATTCTGGAATACTTACGAAATCTGCATGCATTAATATATTTGTAAAATAATTAGAGAAAATTGTGTGATTCAATTGAAAGAGACTAGATCTGGGAAAATTACAAGATTTCAAAATCACCTGAATTGGAAATATTCGGATAAAATCACTTGATCTGATAAGAGTTCCAAGATAACAACCAGAGGCCCGATTACATAAGATGATGCAAAATAGAGTGAAAAAATTAAAAAAACAATTTAATTTTTCCACCCTATAAAAATTTAAATTAAAAAATGAAAAAAAAAATTACTGTTACTTTCAAGAGAGGATTTAGAAATGAGGAGAAAATCGTGTGGGTGTAACAGATCATTAACTAAATAGGGTTAGGGTTACGAGGAAGGGTTATGGCTATGCATTTAAGAAAATAACTTTGAAATAAAATTTTGTTAAAAAAAATGAAAACTCTAAAGGATTTTATTCTTTACTTCTTGGATATTAAACCGAGACTTTAGAGCCCACTTCCAATCTGTGGCAGATGTAATCAAAATGCTTACCCTTTATCTTTACCTATCTCAATGTTTTAGATGATATTAGTGAGATAGAAATGGACACTGCAACAGCCAAGGAATCCCGCTCATATTCCTGAAGGAGGATCTCTTATAGACACACGGTTGATCAGTTTTCTACTCTCTTTCGAGATATGAAAGTTCCACAGAAAGGTTTCTGTGTGTGTGCTTTATCTGTGTGACGATTCACATGAAAACTAGGTCGAGAGTCTCTACAATGGTTCATAAAACAACACAGCGCAGGAATGTTGCAAATCAGTTCCGAAACTTAGTAAAGGACCCTTTTTATGCACCAAGTGAAGAAAATAACCCCCTAAAAATGAAAAATGAAAAACGAAAAGTGATGTTTGGTTTGAGGGAGAAGAACAGTTCCCTCATCAGGAGGCACCTTTCTAAAGGATGTATTTTAAGTCAACGTCTTACAAAATGGATTGAATGAGAAACAACCACAAGGAAACTGGGCTGTGACAGCTGTTGAATGAGAAAGCAAAGGTGATGCCAGACAATAAATGAGTATATTATCTTTGAAGTGGTAAGACAGCATAGGCACTCAAACCTAATATATATATGTATATATATACTCCTCTAAAGGGAATTGCGAAAAAAGAGAGTTTATTTTATATATATTTCTAACGCAGGGAGTTGAATTTTCTCAAGAAAAAAAAACAAAAGTATCCATACTATTTCTGCATTTGTGCGTCAATCACCAACGCACTATTCACATCGAACTCATTTCATCTTGACTGAGGTGAAAATCCTAAAATAAAAGTCTATCATATTTGACCAAATAAGCGTTTTTAGTATTTTTTTTAGAGCACGCCGGTAATAATGCAATCAGTTGTCTGAAAACACTTGGGATCAATAATTTGTGGATAATTTAAAGGGCATGATTCTTTTGAAAGCGAGTAAACCTTGTCGTTGATGAGGGGACACCTTTTTTTTTCTTTGTAAGAAAACTTGATTGTTCACTCATTCTTTGAATTGGATGACAGTATATACAGTAATCACTGGGGAGTTCCTTATCAGGCTAATTTTAGTCAGAATAAATCTTCAGGGCAACCTCTGACGCCCTCAACAAAACACATGCGGTCACTTCAGATTGAAATGGCAGAACTTTTCCGAGGACGTAAGGAAATCTGATGCAATGTTATAACTAAAACATAAGCATAACGAATACTTTTATAGCGGGAAAGTTTGGTAATTGAGCAGATCAGTTTTCCTTCGTTATTTATTCTTGGCATCAGACTATAACTTGCATAAGTTTCTGAATTATAATATAATTTTAATGTCTGCCAGTAATTTCGCCTACAAGTTGTGGAGAACATCTGAGCATTTTTCATACTACAGACGATTGCACAGAGGTTAGAATGATTCATGATTTTGACCATTACGTAAGAATATAAGTGTTTAATAAAATTTACACCATATCAGATTAGATATTAAACTTTTCTTTTGTCAGTCATTATATCGAGGTCTTTTGACTTCGTATATTCAATAAATAAATACTGTGTGGTTACCTTGGCATCAGGAAGCTTTACCAGCTCTTCGGTGGAGCTTGCTTGAGTGTCTTCTGCCATGTCTATGTCCCTCGACGAATAGGCCGTTCTGCAGGTATCATAAGGACGGAGTTCGTCTCTTAGTCAATAGAAAAATAATTCAATAATCTCTTTGCAAGTCCATCATTTATCAAAATAAATAATTTCACGCAACGCGACCCCAAATGAACGGGAGATTCACGTTTAAGATATCGCATTCTCCTTTTCTGGCATTCCTCTCTGAGTTAAGATATTTAACACTGATAAATGGATGGTATGGAAATAGTTTCCCGCCTGCAGGACATCACACAAAATTGAAACATCCTCAATGGGCATGATGCCCAAATAGCCGCATAAGGTGCAATACTTCTGACAGTAAGAGTCCTACAACGAAGATATGCTTTTTGGCTGAGTAGCCGAAGTTGAAGTCGTCATAATCTTCGACGAACATTACCTAGAGTTTTTATTTGGGGCTGACTCCAACTATGCCTGATTACATAAGATAAATGACACCAGTAATCCCAGGCAAGTCCCTAGTGTAAAAACTTCGAAAATTATTAGCTTCTCCAGAACAACTTTCTGTGATCTTTTCAGGATCCAGTTGACCATATTCTCTCGACCATAAGCCAAAATCAGCTTTTTACTCTCCCTTCCCACCGGAACGGATGATGAGGGGAACTCGATTCCATGAAATACCATCTGCTGATCGGTTTCCAGACTAGACTTATGATCCCCCATGCTTCCCTTCAACCTTGAATCAACCATTAAGGGGACTTCCATGTGAACTAAACTTCATAACAGTGTGAAAAGCACCACGCCACCCTAACTCGACTTCCAGTTCATGCCCGACCATCCCTGTTGCTTTCCGGGTACAAATCATGACATCATCTTCCTCCCATCCAAGAAAGAGTCGAAGAAAAGTTAACCGGGGGGCTCTGTTTATTGTTATTGGGAAGACGATCTGACGCGGAAATAAGAAACGTCAGATTTCAGATTTCAGAAAAAAATTAGAACGGCCCATGATCGCGACGGGATATCCCGATCGCCAGCTACATGGGCTTAAAGAGACATCGTATAGACGTCTCTGATTGCGTGTTGGATCAACACAAAAAGACAAAAAAGGTGCCCATTTTTGTTGGGGGACCGGTCGATTTTCGGATCCAGTTCGCAAGAATCCGAATCCAATTTTCGGGTCGAAACCAGTTGATCCGAATGAAACGAGGAAAATCTCCCGATGAGCCTAATGGCCAAAGCCTGCGTCCCACCAGACTCTGCCCCTCCTCTCTCTCCCCCCCTCGTTCTGTCTCTCTGTGTCTGAATCACAGGTTGGGAAAGTTGGTGGGATTGTCCGGCATTCAGGGGAGGAAACGCATCCGAAGGTCGGAATTGTTGCGCAACAAGAAGATCGTCCAAGGAACGCGATCCCCATGGAGACCTCTTTGGGGATGAGGATGATAGAATTCTAGGATGAAAGTGCGTGGAGGAGGAATTGTGTTTCTCCCAGGTGTAACCTAGGAAGTAGGAGTCCCTCACGACGGAATTCCGGATGCGAAAAGTGGCAAGTCGCAACAGGAACAGGGGAATCCGCCCGAAGATGACGGTGAATATTCACAGGCACAGAACGGTACCGCCATCTTTCGTTTATATGATCCAGGCAATTAATTAGATCTGAGAATGGGGGAGGCCTAAAGAAGTGGAGTCTGCTTCGATCGAACACTCCATTCGAGCATCCCTGGGATGTCGGAAAATCCTTTTTTCTTCTTCTGATGCTTACATAAGATTAGCGTTCAGAGGCAAGGACCTAGCCAACTGGAAGAGAAATCAGAGCAGAGAGGTAAAAGGGATGGGTGAAGGAGAAGCTCAACGACAAAAGAAAGCTGGACACTGACACGGCCATCTCACACAGAGCATCTTAAATACAGGCACCTGATAGCGATCCAATGGATCAAAATCAGAAGAAAAATCAGGAAAACGCATTAAAATTGTGAGAATCAGAAGGAGAAGAAACAGATCATCGATTGATCCTGGGGAAATATCAGCATGCGGATAGAATCCGCGATCGTCGAACTTGCAAACAAATACAAAAACGAAACAAAAAACTGAAACAGCGTCCAGATCAACAGAGTAAGGAGATCACATGCCTGGGGAGATTCAAAGCCAATCAGGAACTCGCCCTTCTCGTTCGATCTCTCTCTTCTCAAGAGCAAGACTGAGGAACGGTGCGGGTGGAGAGGGGAGACGAAGGAATCTTGCTGTTTATACTTCCCACCTGTGGCTTCCATTCATAGGCCCCCCCGTGTAAACTATAATACAATAAAACCCCATAACATTTTTATTATGTACATGCATCCTTACGTTTTAAGGTTTCCTCTGACAGAAGGCTTACGTTGGAGAATGCTTCAACAATCATCGTAAAAAACGGAAAAAACTGGACGGCCCATCTCAAAAAATAAATATGAAAAATATCTTTTTCTTAACACGTCAGCATTACGGAGGCCAGCTCGGATGGTGTCGCTTTTCCATGATGTACGACTCAACGGCGACCCGCGGACCCACCTGACCAAGGCAGCAGCCACTCCGTGGAAGCCACGTGTCACGACGCGTTGCCGTACCGTGGCGGGTCTCTGTAAAAGCTGTCTACCCAATATTTCTGTTCAAACTATAAAGTTTGAAGTCAAAATGAGGCACATATTTGACCATGAATGAGTCAGCACCTCAATAATTATTTAAATAATGCAAAATGATTAAAATAAATGGTAAAAGTAGTAAAAGTATGACGTGGCCCCGTCAGCGGAGAGAGGAAGGAAGTGGGTGGGTCTTCCTTTTTGGTCCGCTAGAAGCTGCCAATTCCGAGCGGCCGACCACGCACCGACCAGAGCTGGCGGCGCCGCCTCCCGAGGCTCGTGGGGCCCATCTGGGCCCCGCAACCCTCTACCCCCTTCTCTCTCTCTCTCTCTCTCCCTCTCTCTCCCTCTCTCTCTCTGCATTTTGGCAGGGGAGAAAGCACGGAAGGGCCCTCAGCAATTACCCTTGGCTTACGTCATGAGAGACTGTTTCTGTCCAGGGGGGCCGAGTGTGTATGGGCTTTCCAGCTGGCTAGTCTGCGCGGCATCCAGCTACCTGTCGGTGTCGCCTGTGGCGTTACACGTGTCTTTTCCTCATTGGCACAACTGAGTTGCCTTTCTTTCGGTGTCCAATTAGGAAAAGGATATTAATGTCACACTAGAAAGTATATACCATACTTTTCAGAATAAAATAATCAGTAAGATGTCTGTTCTTTGCCTTGGTCTTGTACCTCTCTGGCCACCTTTTCCGAACAGGGGAAACGACCAGCGAGATCTCATGGTAATATTTATCTTGGCTATTTTTAAGCGGTTCATAATTTTTAGGGTCTTTTTGAAATAGTCCCTGGTTATTAGGGTAAATAAATAATTATTGATTAATATACCTTATTTAATCAAAGAATAGACCTGGGGTTCTATTGGGCCCCGAAAATTAGGAAAAGAGAAGGCCCAATGGAAGCCAGTAAAAGGGCCCATTATCCTTACTCACAAAATGCCACGTGGATTTCATAACCATAGCCCACCCCCCTCTCTCTCTCTAACGCATCCTCTAAAGGCCCAATAAAAGGCCCAATCCAACTAGGATGCCACGTGGATTTCGTCATCATAGCCCTTCTCCCCTCCTCTCTCTCTCTCTCTCTCTCTCTCTCAAACACACTCTCTAAAGGCCCAATAAAGGATCCAAACCAACTAGGATGCGGCGTGGATTTCTCATCGAAGCCCAGCCCCACCCCCCTCTCTCTCTCTCTCTCTCTCACACACACACACACACACACACACACACACACACACACACTCTCTGAAGGCCCAATGAAGGGCCAAACCAACTGTGAGCCACGTGGATTTCGTGTACTGGCAGTCCATGGCATATTTCCAAATGCGGTCAGCACATGTAGATATATATGTTTACAATACCAAAAATATTTGGAAAAATAAAAATATATTCAAATATAGGAGGCTGTATATGTAATAATCCTCCATTACATTGTGAGAGCGATACGAAATCAACTTCTGGTTGATATTTTTCCGTTACCAGGGACATCTTCTTCCTTATCCGAGAGCTGTTCGTCGAGCGGAGCGGCGAGCAATGGCTTCGCCTTCGATGTAAGCACAACTCTTGTATCTGATGTCTGATCCCTCGTTGTGTTTCCGGTTTGCTCCTCTGTAGATGCTCTTGATTTATGGTTTTGTGGGGTACGAGATTCAATCGCGTGGAGGGGAAACTCGGGGCTGTTCAGCTTTCATGGTGTGTGCTTTGCGGTGGCGTCGATGTATGGTTGTGTGTTTGTCGTCGGCGCATTGCTTTTCGTCCTTTGGGAATTGATACCATTCATGACTCTGGGTATTCCTCGTCTACGTCTTCCTTGCCTACTAATTCAATCGAATTGGCTCAGGGAGACATTTCGCGTGACTGCATTCGTTAACTCGTGAGTTGTCGAGTTGGGGATGATCTATTTCGCATTCGATATCATAGTGGTTTTATCCTATATCCGTGTGTTTGAGGTGTCTCTCCTGGACATATACGTTTTCTGAATTGATTCAGTGCTTTAACTTTTTGAAATTTTCTCACGAAGAACTCTCGTTATAAGAGAATTCATTTGAATTAAATTAGTCGAACGGACAGTCCTGTTTCCTCTCATGTAATCTCTAGGAATATTATAGAAATAGAAAAATCTTTAAAAAATTACCAATTGCTTGAGCAATAATATTTCCTTCTCGTTGTACTGGACATAAAAGCAATTTCTCAATTCCTCGACAACCTTCGTCATATGTTATGATCTTTACTGATCACTCTTTCCAGTAAATTCAGGTTGACTCATTAACTTAACTGTACGATAATGAGAAAGTGCTTCGTATCTATTTTTTTCTATACAATGATAGAAGGGTTTCAACAATAGTTCAGGATTTCCACCCAATCACTAACACTGTATCAGATTTTGTGGTCATTGGAAAAGGGAAATGAAGATGAACGAAGGTTGGCATCCATATATTTGAAACTAATAAAGATGAAACAATATTTTTCTTGAAGCTTTCTAGAAACTCAGATTCTATGGTTGGTTAACCTTTTCCTTTCGTTTCCCCCGTATCTTTCTGCGTCTTGAAGTTCTTTCAATAGCGTCAGTAATCTACTTGCTGCTGTTTTTGTGAAGAGTAGGTGAACATCTCAAGCTAATGGGTCTCGTATATTGTGGATGTTGAAATGTGATTCTTATGCTTTTCCATTGAATTTGAATTTTTAGGTTGGTGTCTGAAACATCATTCCATCGCCCGTTTGGGGAATCAATGTGCAGATTCTTTTGCTATGGAGAGACAATCAGGGAGAAGAGCAGCATTTCTTATTTTGTTGTTAAAATGAAAAACCAAAGGAAACCTCATCTTGACAGCCGTGGAAGATTAAGGAAACTTAATCCGAAAAAGTTATCTAGAAAAAAGAGTAAGTTTTATGCTCTCATATGTTATTTTATCATGATTCTTTAGAGACATCAATCACTTTGGAATAATGACCTTACGATGCATGATTTTTATGATATCTGGTATTCTTTGCTACTCGAGGTTTCGGTATTTCCTTGTTCACGAATTATTTACCTGAAGACGTTGATTTTGGTGTGAATGATGCACCGAGAGAGAGAGAGAGAAGCAAATTCATTGGATATGTACTTTATGTGGCATTAAAACATACACTATGTAAGCTGATAGAATCGCATGGTCTGTTCTTATTCAGTCTTTCAATATCGAACATGATGAAAGTATTAAAACGTCAAATTTTTATGGTTTCCTTTTGAAAGAATCATTTATGGGATATTAAAATGTTAATGTTACCTGCAGATTCAGGACATTTTTATTTCTTTCTCACCGCGCCTTATCTATATTGAATTATTTAATTCAATAGAACATTCCTGTCACTATGAACCCTTGCTTTCCTTTGTACTTTCCTGGCCTTTATGAGAAAATCTTGATGAAGGAGGGCTTTTCTACGATAGAGATATGACCATACTATGTGAACGTTCACACACGGAGAGAGATATCCTTTTAACTGTACACTGATATAATTCGGAGTATTGTGTGGTGTTGGTTGATTTGAATTTTGAATGTTTAGAGATAATTTGTTGTTTGGTGTATTTATAAGGTTTGGGCAAATATAAACTGGGACGTGTCTCTGTTGATCCATGCTTTAGCCTTGATTTGGACAACTCGAAAGTGGGTTTCAGAATAGAGTCAAACCAGTGTGTTCTATGAGATTCCAACCTTGAACTTGTCACACTGTCCAGTCAGTTCTACAGAAGCCTAGCAAGGTTAGAATTTTGCTCTCATCACTTCGGCTCTAGCCTGCGGTAAAATAAAATTCGCTTTTTGAACTGAGACGTTGTGAATAAACTTAGAAAAAGAACGTAGCTAATCTTGTATCTTTTCTTAGGATAAGAGTACTTTCCTGGGACTTTGAATCCACCGAGAGAAGATTTCTGGACCTCTTTCCTTTTTAGTAATTTTTAATTTGCATATAGTATGTTCCAGTGATTCTGTTCATAAGTTGACAACTTAAATTTTCAATCTGAATTGAAAATTACTTATGTTGGAATTTTTCTGCTTAAATAGATGGTTCTCTGAGGGGACGCGGTTGGAAATATGGCTCTGGATTTGTTGATGGAGTCTTTCCAGTCATGAGCCCAGTTGCACAACAGATCCTGGAGTTCCTCTTGCAAGAGAAGGATCCTGGGAAAGTCTGGCTCTCACTTGATACACTTTCACCTACTCATGACATCTGGGACGATCTCATCAATGTAGTTGTCCAGCTTCGTGTTAACAAACAATGGGATCCAATTGTGTTAGTAAGCAGACCTATCTACTTAGCTTTCTGTTCACTTTTCATACCGAATTGCATAAGAAAGAAATGTTAGGAGTAGCCAATGACTAAATAATTTAGTTTTGTAATTTGTAGTATGGAGCTGTAGTGTGTATTATGATTCTCAGTCAACTGGGTTATTTTTAAACTAATATTTTACACAGTTACAATCAGATTTAATACGCATTCGCAGTATTGAAAAGTATGTTATTATTTTGTTTCCAATGTTATTTGCATCATTTTTTGAGGAATTCCATGATTTTATTTCTTTTGGAATTATCCATTTCGTGATTTTATTGACATTATATATGGCTTTTGTATTTTCCATGATGTCATGTATATGTTTCATGCTGAGACGAGGACAATAGAATACAATGAATATCGCATGTGAGGGAACACATTGAATACGGATCTACACTTTTCTTGTGCCCTAATTTCAGTGAATCAGATTCTAATCTGAAAATCTGATGATCTAAAGATCACAATGATGGTTTTAACCAATTCCACCTGATTTCTTCATTATTAAAGTTTGTCTTAATGGGGTATTAACCGAACGGATGGTAGTCTGCTCATTTGGAAACATAAATTATCGTGTCCTGAGGTGCAAGTACATGTGGTTTCACGGAACATTTAAAAGTTGACTTTCGGTAAAAATTCTGTCCAATCATCGAATTTCGTCATCTCAACTTTTACATGTTCTTTGACTTCTTATGGATGGAATGTTGTCTTGTCACCTTCAGAAAGAATCGTTGTCTTATGTTGCAGCATAAAACTACCAAGCTTACTTAGAAAATTGTATTTTTCTCCTGCCGGATTTAAATCTTACTTCAGCGCATAACTACCAGGCTTTCTTGGCAAAAATCTATCTAGAACTGCGCCGTTTTGAATCTATGGCAAGTAATTAACTTAAAACGAAAGCTAACTCGACCTGCCCGCCCTCAAGAACTAGTATTATAGTGAAAAAAATGCTCATGATAATGTGCATGCTGGTCTTGTGCAGTCTGAAGATTTCTCAGATTCTATACTAAAGGAAATATTTCTGCATAACTTAGGTTCATCGCTTTATTAATTATAAATATTTCACAGGTATGTGAGTGGATATTAAACAGGAGCTCCTTCAAGCCAGACGTCATCTGCTACAACCTACTGATAGACGCTTATGGCCAGAGAGCTCAGTGCGGCAAAGCAGAGTCAGCTTATCTGAGGCTTTTGGAGGCCCAATGCATCCCAACGCATGACACATATGCTCTTCTGATATGGAGCTACTGCACTTCAGGCTTACTGGAGAAGGCAGAAGCTGTCTTCACCGAGATGAAAAATGGTGGAATTCCCCAAAGTATGCTAAACTCCAGATGGCTTTCCCTTTTCTTTTATTTTTGTCTTGATTTCTTCTTTGCCAGATTCTTGGGTATTTATGGAAAATATTAATGCTTAAAAATAGCCACTGATTTGTTCAGGTACTGTTGTATATAATGCGTACATTAATGGTCTTATTAAATCAAGAAACACTGAAAAAGCATTGGAAATTTTTCAGAGGATGCGGAAAAATAGATGCCAGCCGTCTAATGAGACGTACACAATGCTCATTAACATTTATGGAAAGGTAGGCTACCCGATTTCAGCCAGTGATTTTCATTTACTAACCCGGGTAATATATATCCTCTCTAAATATTCTCTTTATTCATCTCAGGCTGGCCAGTCGGCGATGGCCTTGAAGGTCTTCAACGAGATGAAGGCTGCGAGGTGCGAGCCCAACATCTGCTCCTACACAGCTCTGATAAACGCCTTTGCAAGGGAGGGCCGGTGCGACAAGGCCGAAGAAATCTTCGAAGAGCTGCAGGAGGCCGGCCATGAGCCTGATGTGTATGCATATAACGCCCTCATGGAGGCCTACAGGTTGGTCTTGCCCTGTGAGCCTCTTTTTTCTGTGTGAGATATGCGTGATAGATGATGCTTCTATCGTTCGACCTCGCAGCCGAGCAGGTTTCCCGCATGGAACGTATGAGATTTTCTCTCTCATGCAGCATATGGGCTGTGACCCTGACCAGGCCTCTTACAACATTATGGTGGACGCATTCGGAAGGGCTGGCCTCCACGAAGGTATGACCTGAAAAAATAAATAAATTTTCCTGGTGGGTTGACCTTTTCTGGCGCATCATTCCGTGGCGTTTTACTATATATATATATATATATATTTATGTACTGTGAGTCAAAGTCAACATTACTAGAAAAGGAATTTTTTCCAAATATGGTCGAATAGAGGACGAACTCTGGCCAAAAATCCTGGATTTCTATTCATGCATTCACTTCATACCCAGTTTCACTATAATATTCTCATACCCAGTTTTTCGTTGACTTGCCTGCAACCTAGGTATTATTATTCGTCAATTTTTAGTTCTTAGAAAGTATTTATTGGAATATATGTCATTCGTGATATAAATATGAACTAACGAATATAGAAATCATTTTCGAGTATGAGAGCACGGAAAATTGGTCAACTCCGTGATTGATCCTCGCATATATCTGTAGCAAGAACTGCTTAAAAACTTGATGCCCTGTTCTTACAGATGCCCACACCATATTTGAGGAGATCAAGAGGCAGGGCATGGTGCCGACCATGAAGTCCCATATGGTCCTGCTATCAGCATATTCCAAAAGTGGTAACATCCCCAAATGTGAAGAAGTCATCACTAGGATGCTCAAATCCGGCATAAAACCAGACACCTTCGTCCTCAACTCCATGGTCAACGCCTATGGAAAGATGGGCCACTTTGGGAAGATGGAAGAGGTTCTCCGCGCCGTGGAGAACGGCCCATTTGAGGCCCACATCAGCACCTACAACATCTTGATCAACGTCTACGGCCGCGCCGGCTTCCTCAGCCAGATGGAGGATCTCTTCCTCTCCCTCAGCGGCAGGAACTTGGAGCCTGATGTGGTGACGTGGACTTCCAGGATTGGTGCTTATTCCAGGAAGAAGCAGTACAGGAAATGCTTAGAGATCTTCGAGGAGATGATAGACGCCGGTTGCTACCCAGATGGCGGCACTGCCAAGGTGCTCCTGTCGGCATGCTCGAATGAAGAACAGGTCAACCAGGTCACCACAGTCATCAGATCGATGCACAAGGAGGAGGTGAGCTCATTGCTGGCTGTCTGATCGTTGACCTCCAGTGATCGGTCAACCAGGTTGACTTCCTCACAGGGTAAGTAACAATCCCTCAGCCTATTTCAGGAAACTTAGTTCAGGAGTGAATCCATGGTACGGCGTCTTTATTTTGTGGAGTATCTTAATATCAGGGCTACTTGACCTCAAGATCAATGGGTGTCCCCATCTGCGGCTTTCCTCTGTTGGCGTTGACTTTCGGGTGAGAGACTGACGTGGGCATCTCCTATCCGGTTTCCTCTATGATTATATGACTTGGGTTTTCCGTCTCTAGTCCCTACGATATTCTTGAATCTCTCCGACAACGAGTTGTCATTGATGCAAGCAGAGGAGCTGAATACCAGAGTGGGATATTTTTTTTTCAAAGGACATTCCTATATATGGGAATTCATGAAAGAAGTCTGAAGGGGTGAAGGCCAAAAAAGTCAAAACCCTTTGTTTGAGTAGGATCAAATCGCGCAAAAGGCGTGTGACTTTCTATGCCTTATAAGCACTCAATTTATGTGCTTGTGAGTGCTTGATATATATATCTAGAGAGAGAGAGAGAGAGAGAGATGAACGTTCTTGGGCAAAGTGCAAACGGCGTGTTACTTTCTACGCTTCATAAGCACTCAATTTGTGTGCTTGTGAGTGTTTGATATATATATACATATGCATATATATATATATACAGAGAGAGAGAGAGAGAGAGAGAGAGAGAGAGAGAGAGAGAGAGACGTACAATCGGGAATTGAGCATAGTTTTTTTCCCGTTAAACTTAGCTTTGAAGCATGCATTGTGAAATAAATGAGGAGGCTGCTAGACGGTGGGCCCTACATGGCAAATTAACCTAGAGCTTTCATATATTGGATAAATACCGATTTGGGTAAATCGGATTCTCGTAATCTAGATTGCCAATCCTGTTTGGGCAGCACGTGATTCTAAGAGAAACGAATCTTTGCCCCACGAGCCCACGTTTCCATCAGACGGTCAGCATTGCATCTCAACGTCATTACGATCACGACGAAGAAACATTAAATTATTTTCCGGAACAGCCCAAAAAGGCATCCAGTCACTCTCCGATGACCTTAAGAATACTCTCACCGCAGCCCTAGACGCTATCGGCCGCTCCGTTCTCAAGTGCAGTGGTGGCTCCACCGTCCGGGAGCGAGTGTCCTGATCCCGCCTTTTTGGCCGGGCATCAAGCGTCTGCGAGATCCGCCACCCGCATTTCGAGAGCAAGCGCTGAGGGAGGTTGCTGGGGGTGGCGGCGTTGGGTACGATCAAAAGCCTTAGCTTTCAATGGCGGCGAGATCATCGTCGTTGTGGGCATCGAGGGTTGCCTCGTACTTGAGGGTCTCCACCTTCCCCAGGAGCTTCTCCTCCGGTAAATGGGTCCTCTTCTGCCTCATCGTCTTCTCCGACGTGACAGTAGGTTCCTGGGTTTGTGGGGCAAAGTGTGTGGCGCCTTCCACCCATCCCCTCCCATCCCCGAGAGGGATCCGTGTTTGCCTCCGAAGCGGGCGTCTGGTCGGTCTGTTTTGCTTGTTTTTTTCTGGTTTTTGTACTTTCCTGGAATCCTCTGGGGACCAGTGGATCGTCGATCTGGGTATGTCCGGATTTGTGGTCGGAAACCATTGAGGGACAGAAGACATCGCTTTCCGCACTTCCTGTGGATAGAATTCGACCGATTGGCGTGCTTTCGATTCTTGCTAACGCTCAAAACAAGTTCTTAATTTTTAAGTCCTTTTGTTGATCGTTATGGAAACACTTACATGCCTGTTTATCTGTTAATTTTCTTCATTTTCTCATCATAAGCATCATCATAGTATTGTGAATTGCCTCTCAATGCCTCCTAGTAATGGTTGATCTAGAAAATCAAAGCTTCTGCTAGAATATTACACATCTTTTAAGTTGTGCCAGTTGTCTACCAGTGTTGAGTGGATAACGTCTCTCCAATCTTTCTCCCCAATCTTTCTGCTAGAATAACGCGAAAGTGAGAAAAAGAAATCCACCTATTTCCAAAGGTATGGACGAGAGATTGCAGCCAGATCAGTTCCCGTAAAATGTATAATATTTACTTGGTCTTGCCTCCTGATCTTGCTGCAAAAGTCAGCTTCTTATCTCACTCTCAGAGGTTCTGGCTTACTACCTACAAATGTACAACAACAACCAGCAATAATTCTACTATTAACACGTGTAAAATATCTGAAAGTTCTCAGAAAATCTTCCGAATGATATTTCTTTGTGTTCTCCAAGAGTTGACTTAAGTACGATGCTATGAATCGTAGTCTCCGTCGTCATCAAGAAAGGTGTTGTTCACCTTTCTTGATACCCAGTATTAATTTTTTTTGGAGAAAGATATAGAGGATACTATGTGTCAGATATGAAACTAGAACAATTGTTTTCTTTCCACAAGCCTCTTCTATCTTTGCATAAGAAATGAAATATCTATCCCATATTCCTGCCAAAGAATTGTTTCCTTTGTGGCTTCTTTATGTCCTATGTGGCATCACATGGTTGGCATGTGAAAACGAGCACTCCAGGAAAATTTTGTGTGTTATCTTCTGGCATCTTTCATTTTACAAGAAGTTGAAGTGTTGCTTTCATCCACTTAGGGACCTTAGTGATCTAAGTCTTCTTCTATGGAAGATCCTCAACAGTTGTAATTCGCTCTCTGTAAGGATGGTGATCTTCAAGTCTGAGATGACTTGTGGCGCCCTTCACGTCGCTCTTGAAAATGTCTTTTGAAGGTTCTCTTGCATGCAGCTTGATGGCTTGGTTATGTCCACGCCTAAAGGAGTTCTCAACTGTTCCTCCTGCCACTCTAATCGTATTCATTCCATTCCCTACTACGACCACCATGTTGAATAAGTTGCATTGCTACCACCATGTTGAGCAACTGTGATGAACGTGGAGCATTGAGTTTACTGGTAAAGGATTGACTCTAGGCAGACAATTACACTTAAGACTTTGGTTCCAATTGCATTTTACTACCCGGTGTAAAAAGTATCCATTGAATTTTTAAAGCTACTACTAACCTTGATGCCTGAGCTTAAAAATGATTTTGGGGAAGCATTTGGCAAGGAAATCATGTAATAGGGGCATCCTTTTTTCGTTTGATTCATGTCAATGGAGAAATACTATCGCTTGCACCATTTGGCATATTGAAGACTTACAGGATATTTTTCTTCTTGCAAATGACAGTACGTCCACTCCAATTTTGAATTAATTACATGCTTTTTTTTACTTTATGGAAGAATGTTGGCTGAGATATCCTTCCTTTTGGGAGAAACATGCCATCTCTTCTCTGCTTTTCAAGTGATGCTAGACTGTGTATACCTCAGATAGCTAAAACTAGATTTTCTTCGCTTCAACTTGTTTGAGATGGACGTACCATTTTTCGGGTCTTTTTGATTCTAGTCATGTCAAGTATGAACCATCCACATCTGTGGAAAATATGGATTTCTCATGTTTTTTTCTCTTTTTCTTGTCTATTGTAGTTTTGAAGGAGTTGAAATATGCGGATTCTCATGAGTGGGTCAAGGTCGAGGGAAATTCTGCAACAGTGGGGATCACAGACCACGCTCAGGTCTTCATTAATCTCCTAATTAATTTCTCTTATTGCACAGTTACTAGTGAATTTAAGGAACGAACATGATAGGCTTTCGTCATCCATCCATCAATAATTTTCAGTGTACTAGGGATTCATCTAATGTGTTTTCCTCGTCGTGACCTCGATATCCACATAAAATTAATTCGTATGCATTGATTTTTTTTTTCATCATGTAGATTTTGGTGTTTCTTGGTTCTCCTGTTTGCGTTATTTACTGATTCATGAGATACTCATCAATCAGGAACACTTGGGAGACGTTGTTTATGTTGAGCTGCCCGAAGTCGGAATTAAAGTGACAAAAGGAGGCACTTTTGGGGCAGTCGAGAGTGTTAAAGCAACTAGTGATGTCTACTCTCCAGTTTCAGGGAAAGTAGTCGAGGTGAATGAGAAGCTTGGTGACTCTCCTGGCTTGGTGAGGAAACTACTGTTTACTTTTTTCATTCGACAGATGCCCAGTACTTTCTTTAATATACAATATACTTTTTTGATGATTGAAAAAACTTGGAGAAATCCCCTGTTAATGTTTTTGAAAAATTCCGTTGAAGAAGCTAATTTGGTAGTCCAAACCTAATTCATCTCATTTAGATTTTTTCCATCAACTGTATACTATTATGGTTGCTTTAATCCAAGCTCTCTTCTTGCACTCTGTAATATTTGTTCTACTAAGATATGGATATTGGAGTAGCAACGAATATGCAATATGGATTTCAAGATGTATCATTTGTGACATCATTTTCAGGAATTGGTAAACTACAGAATGTTTTAGTGATCCCCATCTTGTCTGGTTTTTTTATGCGATCTTGCATTGTAGCAATTAATTTCTAGGAGGGAAAAGAATAGATATAGTTCGAATCTTGTTTCCAAACTAAGTCTTGTACAAAATCATGTATATTTTATGGTAAAATGTAATGCTTTTGTATTATCAAGGAATCTTAGTTGTTAATTCCTTAAACCTGGAACTTCGATTTCATCTTTCAATCGAGGAAAGTAAAATGAAAGCTAGGAAGATTAGTATGAGAAGCTAATCGTTTCACCAGAGAACCAGAAGGATCTGTACATAGTTTTCTTTGATTTAGTGGACTGTACGCCAGATTGCGTACAGATTTTACTTAGTGTATTTCAATATTCTTAATTGATATCCTTCGATATTTGTTTGCATGGTTTAAGTTTTTATTTTGACGTAGAAGTAGATAATGCAAAAAATTCCCTTCCGCAATCATGTATTATATATGTCTTCTTGTTTGAATATTCTTCACATGTTACACATTCGCTCCAACACAATATCCAGTGCACTCACATCACACGGCTCGAACTCTTAAGTTTCATAGCCATGTCTACGCATCACTGTAATCTTCCTTAGCTTGCATTATCCACTCGTAATCCTCCATGTGATCTTCCCATCGTCATTAAAGAAGAGGGCACTTGTTCAGATACCCATTAAGGATATAACAACCAGCAAGCCTAGCACCAGTCGACTGCCATAGCCTGAAAGCCATTCTCACATCCATTCTCCACCCTTCCACCATAACTCAGAACGAAAACCAATCAGTTGAGTAAGGAGACGCCGTCAAACTTAACTGGACTCATCAGAGCATGCTGATTTTCTTTATTCATGCAGATTCTTGAATTTGCAGGCTCTTCCTCAGCAGTTGATATTGGGATAGTACAATAAGCTCTGCAAAAGAGGGAGTTTACATCTGAACAGTAAATGGTTAAATGTGGAAATAGTTACAACAAGGCATCTATCTTTCTTCTCGGTGAAAAGGCCTGTCTAGGGAAGAGAAAGAGTACCTTTTGCCATGATAGCTCTGCAGTAGTTCATGTTCTTTGTTAATTCTTCTTGGATTGGATTGGGTACAAGATGCATTCTTTCCCTTTCTTTTCCTTTCTTTCTAATGGTGTCTGTTGGTTGTATATTGAAATCCTCTTGAAGGCAGGACAGAACATGACGGTGAATGATGAAATTAACTGCGCTTTATCTTGGTTTAGGTTAATGGTAGCCCGTTTGACAATGGGTGGATCATCAAAGTTGAACTGGCGGATAAAGATGAAGTCAACTCCTTGATGGACTCGGACCAGTACGAAAAGTTCTGCGAGGAAGAAGATGCTAAACACTGACTTGCCTTAAGAGTGATGTACCAGCTTGTGGTTTAAATTGTCAATAAGCCAGCAAGTGCTCAAGAATAAAATCTCCCATCATTCGTTTGACTCTTTGGTTTTGTAGATCTTGAGTTCCCTGCCTCATCAACTTCTCTACAGAAACTGTTCTCAGTGAAAAGTGGTAGGCTAAAATCCTGAACCCTCCCCATCTTTTCCACATTCTTCTAAGCTTTCCTATTTCCGAGAAGAAATTAAATTTTTTTTGGTGATTGCCATTTCCGGGTTCTTCCCCTACTTTCTGTCGCTATATATGATTTGCCCAGATTCGTGGATGCTTACATCAACGGACAGTTTATATGATTTTGACCATGATTGGCACTTTGTTTGATGCTCGGTTAGAACAAGTCCAGTGTCTCTATAGCAGAGAAGGGTTCCTCAATCTTTGAATGATCTGTGCGATCCACACAGAAGTACTTGAACAGATGCATTCTGAGATGTGTTTGTGAGATTGACAACATGAAGTTTACATACAGGAAAGTGGGATCGAGTAAACTTTTGCCACATAAAACAATTACAGTGGTGAGTAAATGGGTACATGAGAGTAAAATTACTCCCCCTCTGATAAAACAATTACATGTATAGACAGGCTTCAACAACTTTTGCCATTCATTTTTAATTCTGAAGTAATGCGTGGTGCTCTTAGAGAACCCTTGATTTTCCCAAGCTTTAATTACCAACAATAAACGTATTCTAGTAAAACTGTGTCACTTGGTGCATTTGTAAAGGATAAGGATCTGCCAAAAGGTACTTTTACACATGCATGGTAAAAGGTTTTGAAAGGTTTTGAAGGCTTACATCCTATCGACTATGTTATTTGCACGATTGAAGTTGAGATTTTTGAAATTTATAAATAGCATCTTAATCTTGATGATTGTTTAGGGGATATTATTTTATTAAGATAAAACTTTGTCAACAAAGATCACAATGTTAAAGCATTTGTCACAAAACTTCCTGTATTTGACGTATTATAACTTTTGGAAGATTTTAAAATTTTCAATTTTTTTTTAATTTTGTTTGACTTACCAGAAAACTAGCTACAAGGTGAAGACTGAAATTTGTGTCTGATGTGATTATAAAGAGAGACAAAGACACGATTTAAGACCTTTCAAAATTCAGGATATTCTAAAACTAAATAAGAAGCTGATCTTCTGAAGTACTTTAAACAAACTTGGATATTGTTATTTATCAAAAATAGATACCCGATGAAATTTTAATGGTATATTGGTTGGGATGTGATAATGTTTTATTTTTATATAAGAATTCAGGTAAAATAAAAGTATTTTTTGGATGAATTAACATACAATGTGAATTATTTAAGTTAAAGATATTAGCACTAGTTTGAGTGTGATGTGACGAGTTTATGTTTAATTTGCTATTTTTTTATGGTTTATGTTAAATGAATATATTTTTGATTTTTAATCCATGTGCTAACATGATTATCCAAGGTTTATATTTTTGAAAATTATTTTACAACTGAAAACGTTTTTTACTCATGAAGTTCAAATTGAAATATTCATTTATATTGGATATTTTAGGGAATTTATGAAGACATGTTTTCAGCTATTTTTAGTAACCTATAAATTGTCAAAATAATGAGAATACAATATAGAAATTCATGGCCACATCATGAGGAAGATATGTGAAGGAGTTATGGGTCAAGTTTGCATTTTTGGGCCATGTCAACAAGTCATGTGATATCATCCAATTATACGTCATCTTCCATGCTCTGTTTTTGCGTGGTGAAATGGACAGAGATAATTCTGATTTTCATGATGATTGTTAAGATATTATTGCATGAAAATCAGAAGGAAGGTTGAGGGAAAATAAAGGAAGCTTACTAGATGATAAAGAGCAGAAGCTTGGAGGATTTTGTAATATTTTCAGGCCAAGTTCTCTTGAGGTGATAGGTAGAGACAAGCAAAGTGATGTTGGGCACTTATGAGTTCTATTTCTTTTTTTATTGCATTTTATTCATTCATTCTTAATCCATTGTCTGCATAACAGGAAGACAACGAGATTAAGGCTTTCAATTTACTTTCTTTACCACTTTTTAGACAACTTCACATTCATTTTCTGATACTCTATTTTTGGGTGACAATCAAGCACATCAATAGGTGGCGTTTGGAAATTAGATTTCCAATTGACTTAATTTTATTTTTATTTTGGCTTATTTCCTCGTCTGGGTGACAGGCAGGTGACGACATTAAGCATTTTAATTGGCATTTTAATTTCCATTCCATTGTCCTTCCACAATGATACTCTATTCCTAGATGACAAACATGAACGACCATTTTGGTATATTTATTTAAAAATATTACTTAGTTCGTGGATTTATTTCATATTTTTAAGTTCCTCTTCTTATGATTTTATTATTTTTTGTGAAAATTAAATTTTTTACGACCATTTTGGTATATTTATTTCTAAAAATTACTTAGTTCTTATCATTATTTGACTCATATTTCTTTTCCTTTTTCACTATCAGTGGGGAAACTGCGCCGGCAGTCGTATTTTCTCATTCCTCCAATGTTTTACTGATTTTAGGTATATTTTATGTCATTTAATTATCATTTATTTTTATGATATTCTCTACCATTTTCTCTGGAATATTTTGCAGGTCTTGAGTCATTTATCACTTCTACATGTGAGAAAATATTAAAATTGAATATTTAGAGCTCAAGCAATTTCCAAGATTTAAAGTACATAGAAGATTATTTTCTTTTTTTATCCTTTTCTACTTCTTTTTATTTTGGTAAAGTTTAATAGAAAGAAAAAACAATATATGTTGAGATTGACCATCATCCTTGTGGATGACCTGAATTCATGAAACTTTAACTTTAATTCGTTTTTTGAATTTAGTTTATAAATACTTAAAATTTGATCATTTTGTTTACAACAATTGAAGTGTTGTTAAGAGAAAGCAAAGGTTATTGGTCGGATTTAAATGTCTTACAAACATTTTATAAGATAGTGGTTTAAGAGGTTTGATAGAATTATGCTGAGTTATAATGATGTTAGAAGTTATTGTGATAGTCGTGTATATCGCAAAAAGCCTCCAAATAATTCATTTATTTATTTGTCATTATATGTTAATCATGTAATGATTATTACTAAAATATGTCAAATATTGATCATTTGAAATCTTAATTAAGAAATTAATTTGAGAGAAAAGTGCAGCATAAAAGAATGCATGACTATAAGTACTCTATTAGTGGCTCATTTTAAATTTTCACTTGAAGATTTATAGAAGATGAAGAAAGAGATGAAGTAGATGAGCAAAATTTCATATGAGTATAACTGGTAGCATTATGTATGCTATGATATTATTGATTATCATTAAAATCTTGATGGCAATCATGATTATGACAATCTGTTCTTCCTCTCCTTCACATGATCAAAGTCTCTAGTGATTGACAAGCTTATTGCTTCCTCTCCTGACTATAGTCAAGTCCACTGACCAGTGGTTAATTCATATCTTCTACTCTTTTGTCACCAACGTGATTGATCCCTCTTCTTGGCATATATCTTTTGTGAGCAGCAAGACCAAACAAAACCAAGCCATCATAGTGCTATCTCTAATTGTCTGAGAGGTAGACCAACATTAGGCAATGCTTATTTTCTTACTTAAATTATTTATTTATGTTTTACGGCAAGTTATTTCTTTCTTTAGATATTTTCCAATAGAAATTAGTAGAATTAATTCAAAATTTAATGGATGATTTTCGTTTCTCTTGTAAATCTTTGAAAGTTCATCTAAGATCAATCTAAGATCAGGTCCAACTTATTTTCTCTTGATTGTTGCAAGTGAATCTCATAGAATTCATGTTCCCGATGCTCCATGAATAATGGTTTTTCTATTAATTTTGAACACAAAATCAGTGGACTTAAAGATGGATCAACGAGCATTTAAGTTTTAAAACAAGGTGGAGACATTCATGCTTGATCTCATGTCATGTATGTGAATTCTCTAGCACACATTTTTTTGAGAAATATGGTAAAAACTTAATTATGAATAAATTCAAAATCCCTATAAAAATGGGTTGATCATGTTCTCTCTCTCTTTATTATTTTTCTAAGCTCTCTCTCTTCCTCACAAATCTCTCTCTCTCTCTCTCTCCCTCTCTCCCTCTCTCCCTCTCATAAAATCCATCTCTCTATCTCGAGTTCCCTCTCTCTCTCTCTCTCTCTCTCTCTCTCTCTCTCTCTCTTTATCTCTTTTATTTTTCTCTTAAAATCATTTCCTTTTTCTATATAATCTTCTGTTCTCTTCTCTTCCTTCTCTCCTCCACCCTCCCTTTTCTCTTCTCTTTCACCTCTTCTATATAGATTAATTTATGTCCTTAATATTGATAAGACTAGATATCTTCTTTCTTTCTATTAAATACTGATAAAAAAATAAAAAATATTCTTATATAAAATAAATTAAATTTTCACAATAGATTAATCAATCTCCTTGTGTTTCACTTGAGACCTATACTTATACTAAATAATTATAGAGTTTTGGTTATAAATTTTATTAGATGTTAGTAATTTAAATACAATGATAAATCCACATCAACTAGTAAGTGTATTAAACATCTAAGAAAGGTCTACCTTAGAGGTGCTTCAGATTTTAGTTTAGCATTTTAGAAATGTAGTGACATTAGTCAAGTTTTTGATCATGTTGATTAAGATTACATTGGCAATTAAGATAAGAAGAGATTTTTAATATCTTATATCTTACTCTCTTAGATTGTGTTATTAATAGAAATGCTATTTTTTTGTCTATTGTGACCTCATTGATGATAGATGTACAACATACTTCTTAAAATGACCATCTTAAAAAAAATACATTTCACTATCTTAGACCTCTTTTCTATAATATTGTTCTTCTAATTTTGCTTTGTTCCAACAATAGGCTTCAATATGTTAATATTTCTTACAAAAGTAAAATTACATTAGTCAATAATTTACCCTTTGATTTTGACTATTATCATAGTCACATCTCTGATGTACAAAGTTGAATCTACAATAACCTCTTTCATGGCCTCAATTGTGATGAGTTCCTCTAACTCTATTTATATTATCATATTGTTGATTAGAAATGCATTTATCATTTTCTCCTTTCCTTAAATTTCAAGTTTTACTTGAAATACCTACTTTTGAGATTTTCTATAGATTTATTCATTTTTTCTTAATGTGTTAATAAAGAGCTCATTAATTTATTAGAGTATAAATAGGTACCACTTAGACTCTATAAGAGGAATAGTAATATTATCAAAATTAAACAAAGACTTCTCAATAATTATCTAAAATTTTTATTTTTATAATATCTTTTACAAATATTCACATCTGATTAAGAGTAAATGAAACATGAGAAAAGAAATCTTAGATAGACTCACCAAGTTTCATAAAAAGGATTTCAAATTTTTAATAGATAGTTTGAGGTTTTAATATGTAACCTTATTATCTCTATGAAATTTATCTTTCAAAAATTTCCATGGTTCTCAAGAACTTATGATTAACAAAACGTGTGACCATTTAATGCAAAATAGTAAAAAGATGAGGAAAAAGGCATCAATGGCTGAATGTGACATTCATTACATACCATTATTTAAAATTGTTAGGGTAAAGGGTGGCAGCCCACTTTGAGCCTTTTCTACCCAATTTAAATACTCTCTCTCTCTATTATTTGTGTGTGGTTCAAAAAAATTGATTTTGGGTGTTTTTTTTTGTCCAATGAACTCCTCTCTCTATTCTCTCTTTCAGTCAATTTATTTTCAAAATCTAGACATATTCTCTTCATATTTGTAGCCTATTTTCCTTTAAAATTGTCAATAGAGCCTTAGGTTCATCATATTTGATATTTTCTGCTAAGGAGGTCATAAAAACCTCATCAGAGCTTCAACAATGAGGTAAATAAAGTCATGAATTTTTTCTATTTTAGTAAGAACATGAACTATTTGGATGGTGATTTTTGGAAGATATAACTCCATTGATTGTGAGTATGTTGAATGGTTACCCTCTCAACTTTCTACAATCTTATGTCATTTTATAAAGAAGAGAAATATGAATCTTGAAGTATTAAGATCAGCATATTGTTTATTTTGCATGAGTTATGAGAATTAGTTGAGAATGGCTATAAAGAGGGAAGAATTGAATACTAGATGGTAAGGAATTTTTTAAGGAAGATTCTAAGGCCTAGTTTTTCTACAATACTTTTATGAGATGAGTTTTTCAGATGAATGGAAAATTTTGAAAGATCAATTTTATAAAGGTAATAAGGTTACAAGAATAAAATTTCACTCTTTGTAAAAAATTGGAACTCTCTTTATTAAAATCTAGTGAATATGTTTTATAATTTTTTCTCTCATATTTCATTTATAGTTAATTAGATAATAATATTTGGGAAGATATTATTTAAAAGAAAATTCTTAAAAAAGTATTGAGACTCCTCTATTTGAGTTTTATAATGTTATTATAGCAATTGAAGAGTATAAGGACTTATTTATATACTCTTTTCGTGTCAATAGGCTCTTTATGAACACATGAAGAAAGAATGAATAGACTCATGGAGCATTCTTTCGAGTCAGAATTTTAAGATAAAATTCAAATTTTAAAAAAGAGGAAAATGAAGAAGGTAAATCTTATAAATGTCATGATAATAGAAATATAGGAAGATGAGCTTTTCATAGTTGTGGTTGAGGAAGAGGTTATGATAGAGCTAATTTTTCTGTTACAAGCATGATGAGGGTAATGTTTAACATAAAAAATAAAAAAATACATCTCTAAATTGTGAAGTTCTAATTGAAAATGACAATAGTGTTCAAATTAAAGGTTTGAACACCCAAAACTGTTGATATTGTTGCTCTTTCCGCTGCATCCAGGCCCCTTGAATACTATGAGGGTACTTGCCAATGCTAGCTTGATGGATGTGACCAGTATGAAGATGAAGAGGAGGGCTGCTCCAAAGGTCCGCTGAGGGTGGGTGCTGCCGGCCATATCTGTTATTACTCATTGATGGGAAGCCATTTCTTTGAGAATAGCTAGACGGCTACGGAGATCAGAGAAGGGATTAGATTGTGATGTAGTGAGACTTGTTTTTGCATCTATTTATTGGATTTTCGTGGAGGTGCAGAGTTCGTATTGAAGAAGAAGATCCAAATGGACAAGAACTAGTTGGTTTGCCTACGAATGGTTCAACCAAGACATTACAACTCCCATGTTTGACAATTTAACCAATTCAAATTGTCTGATAGTTATGCTTCTTATAACAATGCTTTCCCCTTGAAGGCTGCAACGGCACTCTCCCAACGAGACTTCTAATTCCTCTATAAATAGATGAATATACCTATGTAATAGATATACAAGAGAGTAATTCGATTTCTATATTTTCTGTTTACATTCTCTCTCTCTTGGTATCACCTTCTTCCTCTTTCTCATCTTCTTCACATGGTATTAGAGCCAATCGGCTTAATCACCTCATCTTGATTCATCGTCACCTGATGCCTAATTCAAAATAGCCAAAGCTCCCTCAACACTATTGGCAACCACATCTGCTTAGTCTCACAACCTTGTTGCATTACAACTGTAGAATACAACTCTTTACGAGTATGATCATTTCTTTAAAGTTTACCTATGAAAACTTCCTTCTCTAGAAGACACAGCTATTATTGATTCGTAATAGCTATCGACTAGCATATATACTTGAGAAGGGTCCACTAGTGGTCACCATAACACATGCTCAAGGTCAACTTCAAGTTAATGAGGAATATCAGTGATAATTTTTCATTATCATGAGTTAATAATTAGTAAATAATATAGTTTTAACCTTAACTCATGATAAATAAACTTATATTTATATTAAAGTGTGAAAAATGGTTTTCAATTGATTAATATGAAATTTTGACTAACTATTAAATTTCATGATAAATAATTACGACTTTTGTATAATATCTCTGATAAATTTACCCTATAGAGGGCAGAGTACATCAGATTAATTTAGATATAGCTGAAAGTGGGACCGGTGCAGATGCGAGGGTAGTGAGAGCAACCACACCAAAGATCGATATACATGATTTGCAGATTTCCTCTCGACATGGGGGAACATTGAACACCGAACCCACAGAAGATGGGAGACATCAACAATGGGTCAAACTCTTTCTCCAACATAATGGAATCCTTTATGGTTTTATTTCTTATCGATCTGTCACTGGCCTTAGTCCATAATTAGTCATAGGAAACCAGCAGAACTGATACAAAAGTCTAAACAGAACGCAATTGTTTTGTGGAAGCGGATCGAATAAGTGAAAGAGATGAGACGATTCATACCTTAGATGGGTTGATTACTAAACAGTGTCCATGCTTTCCGCTCAGCGGTGCGAAGCCTGTGTAATGCAGTCGATTTGAAAGAGGTTAGGTTGGTAATAGCCCAGCGCGATATAAGAATCATTAAGTGACACTTTTCGTAAGTATCGTGAGTCTTTTGACTATGCCGGTGAAGCTCCTTCAGGTAACAGTCCAACTATTAAGAGTCCGAAGAATAATTATTTTACAAGCCAAACGTCGTTAGGATGTGATCACTTACTATGGTGACCTTTGAAAAGTTGGATGTGGGAACATGGGTTAAGACGTGGGAGACCTGTCAGAACCTGCTCTCACGAAGATGAGTACTTCATTTACGTAAATTCTCTCGTTAACAAATTGCATCAGCGTGATGCTCCGAGCGATATCACACAAGTTAAATGATACTTGAAACCGCGGACATTAGTATGGTAAGGGTTGGCAGGTCACTTGGACAGAGGTATTACTGGTTCCCGCAGTTCCACTACTACCATTTAGATTACAATGGTGCTAAACGCATGACGGACAATCTGTATGTAGAGCTCCTCGAAGAAGTTTAAACGAGTTCCCCATTTGTAAAATCGTTGAGAATCCTAAATAACAGCCGCGCTCTTTCCAGAAAAACTGTAGAAGCCTATCGAAAGCGTAATGAATCTCTTGATTGATCGAATAAGTTTAACGGTAAAGAATCCTCATATAACGGATCGAACGCTTATTTTCCTAAAATGAAGAAATCATGAAAAAGTGAAAGCTGGCGTGGCTTATTCACCGACATTCCTTATTGATACATGCAAATCAGCGCGATGAGACGGCGCGCGAGGATTCCAATACAGTAAAGCAGCAAAGACGTGTCCTTTCGTCGCGCAACGTTTGCGGCTTATTTATTCATAAATTGGCGCTCCATGAGCCCGCTCAGCAGACCATATAGATGCTCTTGAACTTGTTGCGTTCACATCGGCGGGTCTCTTTGTAGAGGGAGACGGAGTTGCCATCGCAGTAGGAGCCCGTGTACAGCGTGGCATCCTGGCCCTCAGTAAACACGAAGTGGAACCCTCCATGGTACCCGCTGATGTCGAAGCACCCACAGCCGTTGACGTCCTTAGTTCTCCCGGCGCATCCCGGGCCAGAGAACGCCGTCAGGGTACTGGCCGACGCCGGCACAACGGCGGCAGCTGCGACGAGCAGCAGGAGAACGGCAGCTGCCGCAGCCTTGCTGGTGATGGCCATATCTTCTTAACGAGGGGAATCGGTAGTCTTTGGCAGGGGATTGGCAAAGGAACGGATATGGAGCGGTGAAGAACCCTGGCTCTTGCTCGGGTCCTCTTTATAGCCGATTCTTGGGACCTGACCAAGTCCTGGGATAAATTCAACATTGTCTGTCGTTTGGTCACCAAAGAAGACGTAAACGCTGTGTCTTCCCTGTCTTTTCTTTGAATTGAGACCCCTCGTGTTTGCTGCGGTTCCGTCTTTATTGGGGCTTCCTCGGCCTTGTCGCCACGTCGCGGTTTTGTTGGACTTGACCTCGTCGCAGATAACAACGCCGGCGCGGTGTCTTGCGAGCAGGATGGAAAGAGGGTTGGTGGCGTATAATCCACTGGGACCTCGTTTTCCATTGTTCCCCGGGGACAGCTTATCCGTTCAACTTTCATGTTTCAAAAGTCCCACTTACCCGTGCGAATTCGGAAGAGAATTGCTCGTCGGTAGCATCCCTTGTCCAGGTTCTCATTCTGTGTCCGCCGTGTAACCTTCAGTTTCCTGGTCAACTTTGATCCACGTATCGCCGATGCCACTGCTTCCCTTGTTTATCCTCCTAAACACCAATATAGCACTATTTGAAACGCCTATTCACATCAAAGTCTGGTATTGATCATTGTGAGAATTGAAAAGGGAAGTGGAGGTCTGAAAATAAACTTTTTGCCCTAATATCAAGTCGTGTTAAACTAATCGCTGACGACCACCTGGAAATGCGTAGAGTTGCTTGCCTGTAAAATCTCATTTGCTTATGCCATCGCCAATAGAGAGGGTCATTCCGAACAGCTTTCAAGCATGGTACCGATACAAGTTGGTGTTTCAAAACTCGAAGCCTGGGAAAGATTGAAGGTGAAATAGGGAATAAGATCACCTTCTGATTACAACTTTTGGTTCCCGAAAGAGTTGCAACAGGAGAAGATAACCATCGGTTATGCTATATTGATCAGAAACGCACCATAGCTTACAACGCTTAACCCGCCAAATGCTTCTCCCATACCTCAGCGCAAGTGGGTTTCCTCGATCTTTAAAATCGTAACCGATTACAGCACGAGCATGCAGCTAACCGGTCATGGCTGGTTTTAGGATACAACAGACTTCTGGTGACGCCGCTCCTTTGTGGGCTTCAGGCCGGTAGACGAATCGGTGTCCTTCGTATCCAGGCAAGTTTTAACAAGTTGACGGGATAACTTTCTACTCGGATGCAGGTCGACCCTAATCCGCTGACTGCAAATTCTTCATTCCATCTCCAAGCATACTCTCCCTCGGTTGGCTAATGCAGGTCAGTTTCGGATGTTCAAAATTCCCACAATCTGATGTTGAAAAACACACTAGGAAGACTCCGACCTAATTATGCTTAATAGGTTTGTTCTACTCAATTTCTGAAGTTGGAATAGGAGTAGGCTACGCGATGGCACCCTACCACCCTCCTCATCTCCTCTTTATGAAACTACCATCGGGGAAGCCACGTGCTGTTGATATAATTTAATCTCCGTCAAAACTTATGTAGAGCCCATTAACAGCAAATCTGAGTGCAGGTCGCGGATCAAATCCATCCCCTGGAACGAAGTCGTCATTTTTGTAGCTTCCCGTCGATCAACCGCGCAGCATTTCTTCCCCGGCATTAATGAGGTTCTTCTAGAAACTGTGGCCACTAACATACTAAGGAGCGAAAGATCTCAACATGACGTGCAGATACGCGTAGAATCGGATGAACTGGTCGTGCCTCCCGGATAATATTCAACAGTGGACGGTTTTCAGGGGAAAAACACCCTACGAATGGCATTGTACGACCTAGGCGCGACAGACACATGGGTAGACGTGGATAACATTTCCCGCTCGTGTCCAACGTCCTGTCTGTACGCGGGGGATTAAGATCAGAAGGGTAAGTGGCAGCCAGCTGCTTATCGTTTCACCGATGAAATAATGTTGACGAGATTAAGAAAGGAAATCTCAGCGTACTTCGATTATCCTGGGGATTCCTAAAGAGATAGGATCTACGTATAAATACGGATATACGCGCACAGAGCGAGAAAATGAGACTAAACTCAGCGGCTTCTGAAAGCGGAAACTTCGCAGTTCAGATACACGTGAGAAAATAATAGTCAGATACTCTGGTACTGTTTTGTCATGACGAAGAAATTAATTATTAATAGCAGAAGAGAGCAAAGTGTAAGATGTTCATTTCGCACGTAAGGTACAGAGGCCCTAAGGCTACGCCAATCTGCCTGGTGCGCAAGGAGTAGCACCATATCTTTATTTCTCATTATCATTCCACGTGGTTGATCCCCTGCTCGCCAGAGCTTCGATCACCCAGTACATTTAACAAAGCATGTTCACACCTTTGTAGTCATTGGATATGCAGCTCCGGGTCTCCCGCTCGAGCACCTCGGGGAACTCCCGGGTTGTGCAGTCATGGGAAACTTTAAGCTCTGCGGTCTGGCCCTCTGTATAAACGAAGTGGAACCCCCCGTTGTAGTTCTCTAGGTCGAAGCAGCCACAGCCGGTGATGTCTTTACTCTTTCCGCTGCACCCAGGCCCCTCGAATACAGTCAGGGTACTCGCCGACGCCGGCAGGACGGCTGCGGCCGCGATGAGCATGAGGAGAACGGCCGCTCCAATGGCGGGCAGACAATTGCTACTGGCTGCCATATCTTCTTGCAGCAGTTGACGGAGAGTTCTTCCTCAAGGATTGGCGCAAGGGTTTTAGGGGTGCGAGGAAAATCTGGTTGTGCACTTAAAAACGCCTAGTGTTTGCCGGTTTTATAAGGTTGAGAAAGAGATTTTGAAGCATGGACAAAAGTTCGATACGTCACGCCTCTCACCCCGGTCGCCGGAAATCGGCCGATCGTAGTTATCTGACTTCCTGCGACCAAAACTTTCTCCCTTCGCATCTGGTAGCCCTTTCACATCACCAGTCCTCGTCTGGTGCTGGCCCACATGATCGATCTTCTCAGACGGTCTTGTTGATCTTCGTCTTCCGTAGAGCCAATTGTCCGTTCTGGACGGAAACTGTCAGTGCATTAGACTATAATTCGTTCACGTCTGGTTTGATGGAGGGTAGTTGAGGTTGGAGAGAGCGTGCATGGTTTTGAATGGTCACTGCATTTCAAAATGGCACCCATTTTGAAAGGTAGTTTGACGTTTTTCGGATGTTTTGGTTGTTTTTCAGATAATAATGTTTATTATGTATCTGACTGGGCAAAAGTGACGGGGCCTAGAATGGTCTGAGAGAGGAGGAGACTTGCAAATAGCCAACTCTCTATGAGGGCCATGTGTCTGAAGGTGTATGCTTCGAAGGAAGGTTACAACACGCACGTGCGACGCAGAGAAAGACTACAAGAAATTAAATCCAAAGAGAGTTCTACATTGACCAGCTGAGTGCTGCGTAGAGTAGTAGCGCAGACGCGTAGTGAAAGCGAGAAGGTGCATTGCTTTAACAACGAACGGAACCGAATTTCTTCATCCCGGGACAAGTTCTCCTTCAAACGCGTGTTCTGTCGCACTAGTCATCTAAGCTTTTCTTCCAGCACCAGTCATCGGGTATTCGGTGGGTTACAAGTTCAACAAAACCGTCTGCGAAGAACGTTCGGGGCAACTGACGACACAAAAGAGTTGTAACGTGAAGAAGCCGTCAGATGAGAATGCCGAAAGGTACCAGAACGACAAAAGGTCGACTTCCGCTTATCACGGTCTGAATGAATGATGTACGTGACGTACAAAAGTTTTCATCATCTTCTACAGCTCCACAAAAATCCTATAAAATGGGCACAGCAATGGATCTCATCACAAGGCAGTCAGAACTCTTCCCACGTCCTCGTAGCCCTTCACCTAATCCCGGAGAAAGGACTTCCCGTCTCGCTACTGAAGGATATGGCCGGCAGCACCAACCCCAGCAGACCGTTGGAGCGGCCCTCCTCATCGTCTTCCTACTGGTCGCGTCCGTGACGCCGGCGTTGGCGAGCACCCTCACTGTATTCGAGGGGCCTGGATGCAGTGGAAAGAGCAAGGACATCAACGGCTGCGGGTGCTTCAACCTCGGCGTTTACACCGGCGGCTTTCACTTTGTGTACACGGAGGGTCAGGCGGCCGAGCTATACGCCTTCTCCTACTGTGCTAGCCGCGAGCTTCCTGACCGTCTCGACGTGGAGACCCGCAGTTGCGTCCGCAACGAGCACCGCAGCGTCGAGATGCTCTGCTAACAGGACGTGCGCTCCGTCTTTCACGGTTTTCGAGGGGGGGGGGAGGTATTTTCGAGTGAATATGATGTTTGATAAAGCTCAGAAAGACATCACCTGAACCTAATTTTTAATTTTTCACTTCATCTTACACTCCTCTTCGTGCACTTTTTAGAAAAAAAAGTAAAATACAGAAACAAGTATTGCGAAATTCTAAGAAAAATAAAGCTTTAAAAAAACAGAATGAAATAAAGACCATGGGTTGACTCCCATACAATGCTGAATTTAATGTCTCTAACTAGACACATTAATCTTACTCTTGAATTTATTTTAATAATAATATATTTTATTTCTACAATACACTTATATTCTATGTAATGTTTAAGCCGCTGTCCATTTACCTTAAAGTTATGATCACTTTTAGGATCTTTAATCATTACAACTCCATGATCATGTCTCTTCTACCACATAGGGCTCTATCTATTTTGATTTTAATTTTCCTAAGAATAATTTCAGCCTAGAATCATATAACAACATTTTTTGTCCAACTTCAAATTTTTTCTACTAATATATTTATCATGAAAAGTTTTAGTTTTTTCTTTATATATTCTATGATTTTTATAAGCTTCATTCCTCAACTCCTCTAGTTCATGTAGCTGAAAAATTCTATGCCCACCAACTGATTTTTCATTCATACATAATTTTTTTATAACCCATAGTGCTTTATGCTGTATTTTCACAAGAAGATGACATGGCTTTCCAAAAATGAGACAAAATAGAAACATACCTATGAGATTTTTA